GGTCAGTGAAAAAAAAAAAAAAAAAAAAAAAAAAAAAAAAAAAAAGAGTAAAACCAAGGGCAGGCAAAAGATTGTGTTGTGTGTTTGGATACTCTATCTACACTTTGCCGAGTGCATGATGTCTGTGCATGAACAATGTCAAGTGAGCTTCTTTAATATTCCAAAGTGATTTTCTGATACAACAACATAGCTATTAAGAAAGCTGACTGGTCTCGGAACAAAAGAGACATGACTTTTCTGATGAGTGAAGAATATTGTTGTAGCACTCTCAACTGATCTCTAAATATCATCAAACTACAGCAGCATAAAAGGAAAAAAGGGGTAAGAGATCATATAAAAATCTTGAGGCCATTCTTGCTATGTAACTATTCATACAAGTCTCATTTCCACCACTTTTATGATCTCGGTCATTTCTGACATTGCTAATTTACTAAGCCTGATTCCATAACTATTTCAGCTACATTCTCTCCAAACAATACCCGGCATTTAATCTTCCCTATTCTCCTACGGGGGGGAATGCGCCAATATACACATTGTGCAGGCAGTGCAATACTACTGTTGGGTGTTAATATATCGAACATCGAATGTACAGTACACGTTAGAACTCTAATTCTGGGAGTGTACGAGATACAGAGATAGAGATATGATTACTGGCAAATTTAATATTGTCGACATGAGGCTGCAGGCTATAAGGATGATATATATGATACATAACATATGGAGAGAATCAGTGCCCACGAAGGAACAAAACACTTACACACACTCTCTCTAAAAGTCGATCAGCATCTTCCAAATACGTCTTGATTGGTACGATCTCTAAGTGACATAGTTTACATATCCCATTGCAATCAAGCAAATTTGGTAAGAGTAAACGTGTTATAAACTGCATTCCTCACAGCCACCATGAATACATTCTAGAACCTGTCACCGTTTTACGCTTCCGAGATGTCTATCCCCAACCTTGTCCCGGGCATGATATCTAGATGCTTGTCCTCTAAGCGCATCTAATCCCATTAAACGTGAACCACTAACAGAAATGCAACAAAAGTTCTCCTTGCATCGCCATGTAGTAATACCTCCCTATATGCATGTCTTGTACGGCCCAGCCATGGTAGAGCTCCGAAATAGCAGAGTGTGTGGTGCGCTGGAAGAAACAACACCGCTCGATCGGTTTGTTATGGTTATGGCAATGGCTGAATATCTATATATGGATGATCAGATTTGTCTAGGACTGGGCGTTCACGGTAACCTGTTTGATGACAGGAGCTGACCATTGTTCAAAGGCCACCTGCTTTTCGTACATTCATTGATTCATATCATGGAGAAATGCACATAAACCCGAGAATATGGCATGTAGGTTGAAAGCACGGCGTTGAAAAGGTTAAATAACGGTAGGAGGTTCCACTGTGTAACCCCTAGAGATCCAGCTGCATGTCCACATGTCTCTTCATTTATGGCCCTAGGGAGATGAATCGAAAATGAAAAATGAAAAAATAATCAAGGCAGAAGGATTAAGAAGGGCGCTGGGACTTCACAGTAGTATGGGATTTTGAACATAGTTAAAACTGGTCACCAGCTCTTATACGGCTGATATAACGGCGGGGGAAAATGTCGATCTAGGTACAACCCGATAAAAGCCAGTTTCAAATAGAAACTCCACACTGGTTCAATAGAAGAGAAAATAATGTTCGTACTACGAACAAGGCGTGGAAAGAAAAGAGACACTCGCTTGCACAATTCCGACAATTCATATATTGAAAAAAAAAAAGGAAGAATTTTTCGGTAAACAAAACAAAACAAAACAAATGAAACTCCGTGTGATGATCACTTATATATTCACTTAATCGTATGCTGTCCAGAGCACTACAAAGGAGTAACAAGCCCGAAATCTTATGTCCCAAATCATTTACCCTCAACACTCTCGGCATCGGAAGGAACAAAACAAGGCTGTATATCACTGCTGTCCTGGCGCGGAACCATGGGCCGGACCCGGGTACCCACGAACCCACGACGGTCTCGGCCCGTTCGGCCCCGGCCAAGCCAATTATGTTTAAGCTCTTTGCTGAGAACTTCAATTTTCTCTTGCGCTTCATCGTTTGTCTGCACACTGGCTAGAACGCTTATGCATTGGAGCATGCGGCCGACGGTTTCTGTGATTAGGTGCGATGAGTCTGTGGATTTAGAAATAGTGCGGGAGGATAGTGTTTGTGATATTGGGGATAGGATGGAGTTCAGGGGTGGGGAGAGGGATGTATATGAGGTTGAGGTAATGTTTTCGGGATTCGAGGTGTTAGATGCAGCGCGGCTACGGGAAATAGAGGCGGCGACAGAGTCAGAGGAGAAACTGCCTGCATTGGTTAAGAGGGTAGAGGATTGGGAGTTGTAACTTCCAAAACCAGAATCGAGCCCTAAGGAGGTACTGGGTCGGATGTTGGAGGCTGTGCTGAGTGCGCTGACATTTACATGGATGCTTTCAAGACTGAGGTGTGAAAAAGTTGCCTTTAGGACTTCGTAGCGGGGGAGGATAACATAGTCGCGGAAGGAGATTAGGACTATGGTGCGCACATCAAGTTCATCCCCCACAGACTTGTTCGAAGTTTCACCGTCTGGCAATGCGCCCCAGAACTCTTTGGCTTCGCGAGTAGTCATGATTGAGCCACGTCCTTTAAACTCCAGATCCAAAGGGAGAAACACGGCTTGGATGAAAGGGAGGACCGTTCCAAATACCAACAGCCACATCTGGACGAGATGTGGAACAACGCGTTCATCTGGAACGGAATGGAGTGAGTGGCTTAGAGAAGTAAATCCTGTCTGCAGCAAGTCTCGTAGATCCTCCACAATGACAGATGGCATATATTTTAGCACGCAGCGTTGTAAGTGTATTGAAACCAACTTATTTAGATCCTCTAGCGCAATGCGGATATCTTCACCATCAAAAAGCACCAAAAGCTTCGCCTTTAGGAAGTCCCATACATCTTCCGGGGCCATGTTCTGAAGGCCAAAGCCTTGCAGGGCTTCTTTTAATGAAGCCTCCCCACCATACACAGTGGGTGCTACGTTTCCTAGTGAAACAGGAGCCCCATGAATGGATAGAGGATTAGCTCCAACCGCCCCGTTAGCCATCCAATCATCTGCATCTCGATATGCAAAATCTTGAGCTGCGGCAGCAGAAGCTTTTTCTTCCTTCTTCTTCTCTCGTAAAGCGCGGCCTCCATGTCGCAAGTCGAGTCCACTTTTCGATTTGCCAAAGGATGTTGTCGACGGTGATTGGGGTGCGAAGGAGTATAGTGACTGAGGAGCGCTGTGATCTAGAGGTTTCGAACTACTCAATGCAGAAGATAAGGTCAAATGGAAATGATCATCTTTGTCCTTCAACTTTAACTTTTGTCGTGACAGGAAGTGGTGTTTGTGAACTTTTTCCTTCTCCTTCTCTTTGTCCTTTTCTCTCTCACCTGTGATCGGCCGGTCAGCAAGGACAACCGTTGTGGCAGACGAGTTTGTCAGGTTGTACATCGAGGAGTTGGCAGAGGTGGAATATTCATGAAGACTGGTTGTTGAGGCATTAACCATTCGTGACAAGCTACTGGGGCCTGGTAATTGGAGTTTGTTTGGGGATGATACAGGCTTGTTTTTATCTGTATCTTTATCCCTTGATAGGCCAATATGTTTAGGTTTCGAGAATATCTTCATCTTAGACTTCTCTCCCTTGTGTTTATGTCCACTCTCCGAAAAATGATCGAAAATCGGCGATGTGGGGACAAAGCCGGGGCTTCGAGGGAATGCAACATTGGCAGCAGTTGTTGCTGCGAGAACGCGTCCCCCAACCAACCCATTTGAGTATTGATGGCCAGCAGAAGCCTGAGTAATAGTGTCTTTGGAAGCTTTCCTCCCCATATTTTCCTGCAAAAGCCCACTTGATTGTGACCGGTTCCGGACGTGATGTGAACCCTTTTGGTGCTGCATTGCAGCTTGTGCAGCGATTTGAGATGCGGAAAGGTTTGCCATGGCCGCAGGGGTCTGTTCAAATGATGACGCAGTGGGAAGAGAAGGTTCAAAAAAACCCTGAGAATGTTGACGCGGTCTATGTTTCTGGACTTCCTGCGGAGGAGGAAGCGGTAGGGTTTTTTGAGGTAATTGATCGTTCGGAGACATGAAAGACCCCGACGGTCGCGAGAAGTTGGGAAGTGAAGTGTTACTATTATTGGCACTTGCCAACGGTAATCGCGGTAAGCCAGGACTGGATATTTGAGGTTTTGCACCGTAGAAGGGCCGCTTGGGCATATTCAGGGAGGTAAGATTGGACGAAGTCGATGAGGCATCGCTACTGGAAGAACTAGGCCGTGCAGAGGGATCGGCTGCCACAACGCGATCAGGAGAGTCTGGTGGTACGGGATAGCTCAGATCTGCACGGCGAAGGGGTAGACCCCGGCTATTCATGGTGGGCACGCAAGCAGATGATGGTACAGACGTTGGTTAGTTTGGTTGGTTGGTTGGTAGGTTGGTTGGCTCAGGACATTCGTAGCCAGAGAAAGGAGAAATGGGGAGGGAAAGATAGAGGCCACATTGGACCGCTCCCTTGAAGCACTATAGTAGCATCACCAGAATACGCATTGCTATGCAAATAGATGTGTTTGGAGCTGTGAGCCCTCCCCCTCTGCATTGTTGTCGTTGTTCGTCGTTATACAGCAATTGGATCAAATGTCGTTTGCCTGGCTGACTAAGGCAGACGTCAGACACATCACGTGATGCTACTGTATGTACCTATCCATAAAGGAATAGGTGGGATACAAATATCTATGAGACCAGGTTCTTCTGGACTCATGTGTTGGCTCATTCATGGTGGCCACCATTGTATTTATTTTGGACCAAAAACCCCTGCCTAGGTAACTATGTCCCTGCTCTTAGATACTTATATAACTAGTCCTAGCTCTCCCAATGAAGTCGCCAAAATGTAATAATCGGTTCGGAATACATAATTTACACTGGTTCAAAATCACTCTTTACCCTTCCAGTTCAAAAATCTCGATACGCTGGCTCAGTTGCCCTCCTGGAGATTCTAATGCTGTGAAAACAGTAGTTATGGAATCCGTATCTGAAACACCATCATCGTCCTCGCCACTATCGATTAATTCTCTACCAACATCAGGTTGCATTTGTTCAGGCCGATTTCTTGCCATTGAACCCACAGCCTTTGTACAGTTGGGAATCTCACCGTCATCTCCGGCTCCAACGCACCTATGAGCCTCTAAACGGGAAGGCGTTTCATTTTCTGGATCAGTTAGGCCCGGCGTCGGTATTGGTATTGTTAGATTGGCCTCCGTGTCACCTACTCCCCTCAAGCGTGGAATTGTGTTATCATCTAGGTACGTTGTCGTTCTTCCAGAGTCATGGGTCCTTCCTTGTTCTCCGGGGTGCCGATGGGGAATGTCCTTGGCAGTGGTGTCTGCGAGTTCTGCTGGTGATGAAGAGCGCACTGGAAAGGGTGGGACGGGGACAGCATACATCGGTGTAGCTGATATATCCTGTGGCTGCCATGGGTTTTGGATGATATCCGGTATGGTGGTATAAGGTGAGTGTGGAACGTAATGGTGTATTTGGGGAAGTGTCAGACGGCCGTCTCTCACTTGTTGAATGATGTTCTCCACATTTTTTTTGTTTTCCTGAGATATCGGTACGTTGTGTGCAAATCGCATTTCAATAAACTTGTGGAATTCTCTAGTACCCACAGTTAGGCGGTGGTGGCTAAAGAGAATCTCAAGTACCTGCGGATGACCGTAATGGGCAGCATAGAGAAATGGATTCCACCCCTTTTCATCATTCTCAACTGGGGATGAGCCATTGTCGAGCAGGAGAGATACGATAGACGCGTGTCCCACTTCCGAGGCAATGCAAATCGGAGAATCTTGAAACATCCTATCAGCAAGGTTCATACGCACCAAGGCGCCACACCTAAGTAATTCTTCTGCGATTTCAATATTCCCGTGCCTGCAAGCGATACAAAGAGGTCTAATGCCTGCAGAATCTACCGAATCAACAAAGACTCCTTTCTGACACAGAAACCTGGTCAGTTGAAGAGAACCAAGAGAGACAGCAATATGTATCGGACGGTGTTGATGACCATCCACCTGTGCTTCTATATCGGCTCCCGAAGCCACCAGAAGCCGTACGAAATCTATTCTATTTGCATTACAAGCATAATGCAGGGAGGTGAATCCCTCACGGCATCTAACTTCCTGTGGAGCGTTTTTGCGAAGCAGAAATTCAACAACCGCAAACTGCTTATTCATTGTAGCTAGATGCAGAGGGGTTCGTCCTTGAGAATTCTGTGAACCGATAGGCGCCTTCATCTGAAGCAGGAGATCAACAATTTCCGTATGTCCATTAAAAGCCGCCCAGTGGACTGCGTTCATACCGTGTTCATCTTTGCTCCGAGGAAGTGCTTTCTTTCGAAGCAAGAATTCGGTAGTTAGAAAGTGACCAGTAGCTGCTGAACATATCAGGGGAGTCATTTGGTGGGCCCCAACAACTTCGACGCTCGCCTTCTGGTTGATGAGCAACTCTAATACTGCCACATGGCCTCCCTCGCAAGCATGATGAATGGCAGCCATCATATTTACATCTTTCGCTTCGATATCAGCTCCATAGCGGAGTAGAAGAGCAGTTATTTCCTTGTCGCCATTCTTGGCAGCAACGTGTAATGCCGTCATCTGATCCGCGGTTCGGGTATTAATCTTGGATCCATGGGCAAGGAGCATCCTAGCTGCTTCGGTGTGGCCATAAGCTGCAGAAAGCCAAAAAGCTGTCATGCCATTGGTATTTTTCAAGTCCACGTCAGCGACTTCTTCCAGAAGCAGACGTAGAACACCAGTATGACCTCTCGATGCTGCTAAATGCAAAGGCGTTGATAGTGTCGCATCTTGGACATCAATATTTGCATTATGGTAGATTAGCAGCCGAACGATATCGTCTTTGCCACAATGTGCGGCAACAAGCAGGGCGTTTCGTCCCGTCTCGGCATGGCGCGCTTCTATGTCTGCCCCGTTTTTGATGAAATTTTCTACTTCGAGCGTCGCACCAGATTGGGCGGCTTTCACAATAAGGGGAGGCATTATACTGTCCATCGATGTTAAGTTAATGCTAATGTTCGATTCACTGGCACGATTTCTACGTTGCTTCGCTGATCCAGAAGTTGGGGAAGCACCTGTGATGGGAGACGCCCTTACGCTCAAGTTAGCGCGGCTTGTGGTATTTAATCGTCGCAATGCAGACCGAAGTTTGTCCGTTGTCGATCCGGAGGACTTTTGTATAGAAGTCGATGCGGCGGACTTTGAGCGTTGTACGTTGTCCTTATTGTTGAAAGAAAGTGATCGACCGAATGAGGTAGTTTGACGTCTTGAAATGTGGCCTTCACGTTGTACCGAGGTGGAAGGTTGGGCTCCCAACGAGTCCTCGCCAATAGACTCGCCAATCGTAGGGCTTAAGTAGCTTGACAGGGTCCGGTTTGGAGTCCTTGTTCTAGCTGTCCCGCTCGCATATCCTTCATCGGTTCCGGACATTGTAGTCGACCTAGAATCATGGCGTTCCGGCAACACGACATGCCTTCTAGTATCCCGTTGACTTTTTAGCATAGCACGCCGATAGGGGGCCTCATTGATGAGAATCTGATCAAATTCAAACACAGTATCCCCAGTGCACGATCCTCTAATGCTGCTAGCAGTTTCGTCAGTTCGAGAATTTGCTGCGCTCATTGACGAGCGTAATGTTGCAGTGTCATCCGAAACTCTTTTGATAATGTTACGGTTTTCCTGTCTTCGAAGGAGTTTAAGTTGTTCTGACGATGTGCGACTAGGAGAAACAAGTCTTAGATGATACTTATGATGTCTAAGTCGCGAGTTAACGGGTGTGTTCGAAAGGCCACCTACCAATAGCATGCCTGTAAAAGTAATTGCAATGCAAGGACCTGGGCATGCAGTCTCTGAGCGTGCTCTTTCATCAAGCCCTCATTCCACAATACTTTGACCTTGGCGCAGAGGCGCAGAGGTTGAGCTTCCTCATCATCCGATGGTGCTTGTGTCAATTGCGCAACCTCTTCGGAGAGAACATCCATCACAGCGGTACAGCCGTCGATGGCGACATCCAACCCGTCTATATATTCAGGGTGCTTTGGAGTCCCATTTGAATTGTATTTGGCCAATTCATCAAGCTGAGAAATGGCGGCCTTGATTGTCAGCAGCTCAACAATCATGGAATTGAGTGTGAAGTCTGCATTTCTGTATTTGCCGTGTAGTGTCGAGAGGCCATGGACCGTTTTGGTAATTAGGGTAGTGATCTGAATGGCCCCTCCAATGACACCAACGATGGAGACCGGATCCATTGGCGACGAGTAATCATTGCCCAAGGCGACTGACTGTTCATTGATATCGAGAGGCTCAAAAAAGGATTACAGGAGTCATTTACACGCGGAGAGCGAGAGAGTTTTGCGAATCGCGGATTAAACCCATGCTTACATTAGTTAAAGTAGCTTAGGGACGGAACCCCCGGGACGCACACTGCGTAGGTGGATTATTGACCAGTTACATTAAGAACAGCTCCAAGGTTTGATTTTAGTTGCATATCCCATGCTAAATGGGATTTGTCAGAGCGGACTGTGGTGGCTGTGAACGAAATGTTCCTAGCTTCGCTGCCACAGTTTCAAAATCACGGATCAGCCTCAATATCTAGTTGGTTAGCTAACTAGTTAGTAAAGTTGGTCAGTTCGTTATGTTGGATCCTTGGACAAAACCAATAAAATAGCTACTCCGAGGTATTTCGCATGTAGAACAACGACGCGGACAACAATTGCCAGCGCCGTATATATCCAAAGGTGAGCATAGGGTAGATAACGTTAACTGGTTGGTATCAGGAAGTGAGGACGAGTGACTAAGCACAAGAATCACGTGCTGCTTCCGACATTGCTGCCAAGGTCCTATCCACCACTTCCCAACATTCATCAATTCTACCTCCTCCAACAACCAACTATATATCATAGAAGCAACCGATTACTTCTGGTATCGATTCCGGGGAATAACCTCAAGGAACCCTCCGCGATAATCCATCAACACCGCATTAAACAGCTGACATAACCCACAACCTCCAGCAATGGGTCCCCTGACTAATCCCCCATCAAATCGTCCCTCCGTCTTGCAAGCAACATACACAGGCCCTGCTGCATCTCCAGCCTCCCAAATATCCCCTAAACCAGAACAGACACACACGTTTGCCCACCCGCTTGCTTCTTCCCTGTCCTGGAGTCCCTACGATACCCACAATACAGCCGCAAAGACGGCCTATCTCTCAGAGCTTCGTGGGGCAGTGAGCGTGTTGCAGACGGAGATAAATGAGTTTCTAACTGCACGCATGGAGGAGGACAACAATACCAATCGACAATCAGCAACTGGTGGTGTGGATGAGACGAAAAGGGAAAGGGAGAGGAAGGAAGAGGAGAATTACGGAGAAGAGGTCCTGGATGATGAGGATTGATTGATCATGCAGCATGCGAGGAATACCACCTCGCAAAAAATCTAACGGTATCAGCTTGCTAAGGGGTATTACCTCCTTCTGGTCTTCCCCGGATACCAGCCATTATGGGGTTCATTTCCACGAAACTGGAGCTACATGGGCACTGGCTGTTAAAGGGAATTAGTTGTATTTGCAATTCTGAACAGCCTGGCAACTAGCTACCTTCCAAACGAACAGAGAATGAAGAGAACAACGTTGCAGAACGAAAGGCGAATGGGTATCAAAAGGGCTTTGGATGCACAAAAGTGGGGACTAGAAGGGAGTAGATTTTGTCACCAACAAAAGCAGCAAAGAAGCCACGAAAATAAAACTAGGTGAAGGCCAACAAAAAATATGGACATTGTATCCATCCGCCTTTCTATGTCTAGAATGGAAAGAACTTGCGAAAGGAAAAAAAAAACACCGAGCTATGGGTTATTATCTGCTAGAAAATACTTTCCTGCATTCGTACATTTCCATTATCTGATTGCATCCGTCCACTTATCATCCGCCAGCGGTACTCCATTTACCAGCACAACCAAGATGAACGACCGTATTGCTATTCATAAACGAAAATGAGTTAGGATGTTCTCTAGCCGTAAAGAAACCACAGGGACTAGGAAGAGACGGAATTTGCAGAAAAAGAAGGAAAGGAACATACTTTGGAAACACACTAATAACACTTCCACCCAACCGTTTATGGCAAACGCCGCAGACCCTCTCCTCACTGATAGTTACGAACCGATTGCGGCCTTTATTATCCCCCGCCAAAGTCTCTTGCCCGAGATGCAGGTCAGCCTGGACATGGGCATTTTGCACTTTGCGCAGTGCGGCGACAATCCGGCCTTCATTCGCGATCGAGTTGGCAGCGCGCATGCGGCCACGAAAGTAGAATTCTAGCTCGTGGACCGGGAGTTTTTCTGGAATCAGATCGAGGGTGGAGCTAGCGGGGAGCCGAGAGCCGTGCTTTGCGAGGATCTCCACAGCTGGGCCATATTGGGGTTTGTAGTTGTGCGGCGGGGATAGGTAAAGAGAAAGGAGGGTATGGTAGATAGATAGCTGGCCACCTTCGAGGTCTGTGGGGGCCACACGCTGTGCCGTGTCCGTTTTTGTAGATCGAGTTTCTTCACTTCGGTGAATGTGGTTGCAGTATCTGAATTGGATTAGATGCTGAGTTTGAGACTCCTTTTCGAATGGAGAAGGGAATATTGAACTCACTCTTCAGCTTTCTCTGGATCCTCCAATTTGAATACGTAAATTTCTAAAGCTTGCCTGTGTTGGCCCATTTTGCTGAAGATAATAGCTCGAGCTTCGAAAAAATCGGGATCTATTTTCCTCCGGTTGTTGGTTAGTTCATGTCAACATGTAGAGAGAAGAGTTTTTAAGAAAGAAGAAACGGACCATTCCTAGGTAACCGGTCGAGCATTCTAGCCGGCGAATACTGTTCACTGCTCTTCAACATGTCCTGGAACTTTTCCATACCCTTCCTCCACTCATCCTCACTTTCAAACTCCTGCTGAACACTAATATCACCCCCTTTCCATTGCTTGAGTCTCTCAAGATATAATGAGAGCAACCACTGATGCATGTCCGGAGACATCTCATTTAACTCCCCAATGATATGCTCCAGATACTGGATAGCAAGGTTCGAATCAATGCCTCGCAGAAACTCCAGAACCTTATCCCGTTGGAGCGATTCAGCATTTTCCGTATCTGCCAAGAAAATCTCCATACCCAGCTGTGGCTGGACCTGCATAGGCCACTCAGCAAACTCGAGGATCAAATCAATCATTTCCGGCGGGAGATTTTGTAGATATGCGACGGTCCGTTCGGGGCCACAGAGCTGAGGTGCGGCTGCGAATTTTTCGTCCTTCTCGGCTTGGCCGAACTTGCGAAGTCGTTCGAGCGCGGCTCTGTGTAGCTTTTTGCCAAATAAGAAGTCAATTAAATCATTGTAGCGACCTGTTTCTTCGAGTTTTTCCATCACAACGTCCGGGTCGCAGAAATTGGCGATGCGGAAGAGGGAACCGGCCAGTGACGGCGTTGCAAACATGTGGGCACGGAATAGAGTTGTATCAACGAGGGTGGCCGTCTCACGGAGCTTCACTGCAATCTCATCTGGATTATCGTATGGAGACAGGCCGAGTACGTTCCTAACTGACCGGGCGAAGTCATCGGTCTCATTGTTGAGCTCCATAGCCAAGGTCGTGATGGTTCCATCAGGGTTGAGGAATCGTTGAAGTCTTCGACGTATGTCTGCCAGAAATCCCTGGAGAGCGCGTGCAGCAGATTTCAAGTCCCTGCCCTCTACACGGATGTCAGTATCATAAATGAATATACAGCAGAGACGGGATATCCCAAAAATCTTACGCAACGGCTTGTCCGCAAATTTTACTCCTACAGTCTTTCCTCGAATACTACCCGTTTCACTTGCGTCATCGGATTTCCCTTTCAAAATTGATCTCACTGACGGAGCGTATCCTGCAGGAGTTTTGATCTTTGGTGAATTTTCTGCTGCAGCCTCCACGCCATTAATCGTAGTGCCATTGGTATTCTGAGGCGTTTGCTCCTCGGCGTCAGTCTCTTCTCCGTCACTTTTATCCTCGTCTAACTTGGAGAGTGACCCAGCAATAAGTCTAGGATATTTTCGAATGACCAGCTCCGGAGGAGCGCATGCCTCTGTAAATAGATCTAGCGAATCGCGGTATTTTTTTTCATCAAATAAAGCCTCTGCCTTCTGCAGCTTCGCTTGCCGAAGCCTGCCCTGTTTATCCCTCAATAGCGCGTCCTCTAGCATGCTGATTAGACTGATCGCTTCATCCAGACACCCTTGCTCGATAAGTGAATCTATTTGCGAGTCGTAGTCCAATGCTCCCATTCTCCAGATGATGCGTTCACTACCAACCAGAAATCCTTTTCCCGCATGTGCTAGGCTTATTGTGGGCTGTGGTATATGTAGCATGCTTGCTGACGGTAGGGAAATTGATTGAAGTAGGGATAGTGTTTCTGGGTTTCGGACCTCCAGTGTTCCCTTTGAAGGCTCTTGCAATGCTAAAAGATATGGATAGGAGTAACCCACAGCTTCCGGGGCCGTAGTCCATGGAATTTGCCTTCTGCCCAGCGAGTTACCGTCAGTATCGATAAAGTGTGTATTGACGTCCTTCGCCAACAGGATTTCTCCATCACTCAGTCTCGTCGCTAAGGGCTTTGGTGCAGCACCCCCCATGCCAATGTAGCTCATGCTCGCAACTCCCACCCCGAGTCGGCCCGTCTCTTGTCCTCCAGGTCCGCCAATACTTCCGGGCCCTAAGATATCAGTTACTTTCAAAGATTCCACATCGACCATTACATAGCTCGAACTAAGCCCCGCAACGAGTTTTGTGCCGTTTGCCCACGTTAAAGTCTTAATTCCACTTGCCAAGGTGATTTCTGTCGTATCATCCTCAAGTTCCATATCCAGCCACATCCATAGCATCAGCTTTCTCTTAACCGCCACGGCAAGCCTGGAAACTATCGATGGCACACCTGTGCTGGGGTCCTTGATGATGTTAGAGGCAACAGCAAATGCAGTTGCCCCCTTTGTTCTCGTCAACTGTTGTTGCAACTCATAGGTCTGGAGGTCATGGATAGAAACGCATCCATTCGATAATGATATTAGAATCCCCGCCTCTTTAATAATAGCCAACTGCTCTATTTTATGTCGTGAAAACTTCTCCTGCTCTCGAAGCAGATCTGTAGGTTTTACTTTCGATACGTCCACGCTCTCCGAAGTTGCCCTGTCCCGCTTGCCGCTGTAGCTTCTGCCGCTGGTTCCTAGCCCTCCCTCCCCATTTGTATTGGCACCCTCGTTTTCATTTTGCGCGTTTTCTGATTCATTGATACGGTATATTCGCAGAGTGCCCGTATTTAGTCCCACAAGTAATCGATCACCGTATGCTAGGAAGGACTCGATCCTCGACTTGTCACGCTGCTTGAGCTTGACAAGAGGGCTGGCCGTGAAGGCCGACAACATGGTTCTTTGGTATCTTCGTTATCAACAACTGGAGCTAGGAGCCTATTGGTAAAGTGACATTGGTCGCGATGGTGCCTAAGCATTTAGCTTGACTCACGAGAAGCATAGATGATGGAGGATGTACGCTAACTCGGGGATCGGTGGTGTAGCATATCATGTCCATGAGGGGGAAGATGTGTGCCTAAATGCGCAGTCTCCCATTATTTTGTAAATCAGTGCTTGCGACAGGATGTCATGTCGGCTTGAAGAGTTGGAGTTGACGGATTTAAATCATCATCATTCATCGTCATTTGATCCATCATACCAAGAGTTATCCCCAATTAGTGGTTTAGTTAGTCAGCAGATTCCAGAGATCTATCTGGTCTCGATCCTCCAATAACTACACACAACTATCAACCTCCATCTAAACGAGGAGATGCATATAAAAATTGACAATGCATGCTTCTTACAGTCGGAATTGATTCTTATTCCCGGGATGCTCAGCTTCTATGGCATATTCAGCGTAAATGATGAACGATCGGCCCTTCACCATTTGTTACTAATGGCGCGGAATCCTTGATTGATGGAACCTCTATAAGATCCTTGACAGACCCGACCAAGTTTTCTATAGAAGTTCAGATGATAAGAATATCCCTCAGTGGTTACCTATTCTTCCTGTTTAGTGTTCTTCAGACACCACTGTTCTCAAAATGCGTATTTCCAGAGCATCTCGCATCACCTCCCCGCCGCGATATGTAATCGCGGCAGTCATTGCCTCCACAGGCGGTGTCCTCAATGTGTGGGACATATTATTTCCAACAAATGGCCCATTTGTGGTGATTAATGAGGGTTAAACTGGACTCATTTCTCAGTTTCGATACGGGCGTGATCGGCCCTATCACTACCATGTCATCGTTTACAGATGAATTTGGGCATCCATAGCCTGCAATTCATGGCATGATTGTTTCTTCAATCTTGCTCTCAATGGCAATAGCTTCCTTGTTCGTTGGTTCTATTTCTGATAACCTAGGGCGAACTCGCGCGCAATAGCACTAGGAGCCCTGCTCTATGCAATTGGCGCTAGCATTGAAGCTGGTTCCAGAATCATAAGGGTCCTCTTATTCGGACGGCTTGTTGCTGGAGTAGGGGAAGGATTCTTCCTGAGCACCTTAGTCGCGTATGAACCCAAGTGATTATCTATCATTCTTCCGAAATGGAGGTTTTTAGTTGAGATGGCGGGGCTCTATGCTGTGGCATGAAAGGGATATCGCTAATCCTGTTAACAAAAGCTACATTTGCGAGATCTCCGCCGCCAAACATCGCGGGCTTCTCTCCTCACTCATACAGTTCTTCATTACCTCTGGCCCTGTGATGGGCTATTTTTCATGCTATGGCACTGTTAGCATCCAGTCCAGCTTTTCGTGGCGATTCCCGGTCGCCATGCAGTCTGGAATCGCACCGTTCCTGACAGCGGCCTCGCTTTTCTATCTCCCAGAATTACCGCGGTGGCTTTTTCATCACGGCCATGGAGCTGGTGCGGAAGCGGCTTGTATCAGACTTGGCATCTCTATCGTTGAAACTGATAATCTAGTAGAACGGGAAGAACCTTCGCATGAGCACCGAAACGAGGAAGAGTCGTCAACTCTTGGTGGACGGCTGAGAAAGAATTACAAGCATAGTATCCACAACCTAAGCTAGTCCTGGGTCCTGGGGCGCAGAAGCAGGCGCTTCTGGGTGCGTTCTTGATGTCGATGCAGCAATTTAGTGGAATTGATGGGGTCATCTATGTATGCAGGTACCTCCGATATCCATTCCAGATGCGCCTATTATTCTATCTCTGTGCCTCTTTATTTCAGGTTTGGACATCAGGGCTGACATGATGCGAACAGTATGCCCCTCTACGTTTTAAGCAAGCCGGATTATCTTCATCGACAGCTTCCTTTATGGCTTCAGGAGTATCCGCTCTCCTCCTCTGTCTTGCTTCTGTCTCTCTACGCTGACAAAATAGGGCGGCGTGCGTCCGCATTGTATGGGGGATCCATTCACGCAGCCAACATGGCTCTAATTGGTAGCCTTTACGCTTCAAATAGCGTTCACGCGGTTTCAGGCGCCGGCAGATGGGTCGTTATCGTCTCGATATATCTATCCTCAATAACTTACAGCATGAGTTGAGTGTCCCACACATTTCTTATTGTGCTGTTTAAAAATTAGCCAACGCAGAGCACACACACAAAGCCCGAGCACTTGGTCTGAAAATATACTCAAGCGAGATTCAATCCGTCTCAGCAAGAGCTACTGTGACAAGTATTGCGCAGAGCGCCATCTGTGTAAGTTCTTCGGTTCCATTTCAAACTATCTTCATGTATTATGCTCTAACAACAGCGTCATTCATTGTTATTGCTTATCACGTACGCCGCTGCTAATTAACCAATTCCTTCGTCGCCTACATCACACCCACGCTCCTCAATGCTTCCACCTTCGGCATGTACTTCCCCTTCTGCGGCTTCGTGGTGATAACCGTGATAATTGGCGCGCTCTACATGCCCGAAACACGCGGGCAACCTCTAGAATCGATTTCGGAGGCCTTCAGCCACCATTCAGCCAGGTCCATTGCCTTTATGAGATTGCTGCTGCGTTGTGTGGCAATCTTTCTGGATTTGTTTCAGCCACATGGCCCTAGAGCTGCGATTATAGGAGCTAGAGAGCCAGTAGTTTTGGAATTGGAGACGAGGGAAGAATGATGTTCCTTCGTGCACAATGGGGACCTTGTCGCCCAGAAATGGTTGAGTTCCGGCAACTTGGTTGATATCCCTGTTAGAGCGGTTTACCAGAATACTTGGAGTATTCTATGTCAGGCGATGACCTTATGCACGATGGCCTACGTTAAATCGGCGTTTTTAATTTTCTAGATTCGGTTGAAAGTGTACCGGCGGAGGCGCAGAGAGGCACGACGGATTTCATTCATTCATTTGTGTGTAGCTAGCCATGTCATATAGGAAGAACACTCTTCCCATTGATGCAATGATTGGATAATGTGAGGTAGCATTTGCTCTCTTCATTTCTGCCTATTTATAGCTCTGCCAGTTAAAGACATAAAGGTCAAGGGACACTTGAACAGTACAAAAAAATGACAAGTTTGCACGAAATGACACAATTCTCCCGCCACCTACTAATTTGACAACAAAACCTGGGCCTTTCCACCCTGATGTGTGCGTTGCAAGTATTCAAGGCAATTGAACTTCATTAAACATTCAACCTTCCACAGATAACAAACTTAAGAAAATGCTGCTGTTCAAGGAATTGAAAAAGAAGAAAAAATGGGAAGGAAAAAAAGTGGACTGGAGATGTCAAATACGCCCACCCATAGCCCAGCCAACCCCTGTCCCTCCAACTCTATATTTATAGTATGCCTTGATTGTACCCGTTTTGATTTATATCTCTTTCTGTATAGAAAACACGCCAGATCCGAAAACGCCATAGCCAACCAAATGCATTCGGTAGCTCAAACCGATTCAATAGCCCACCTAGAACCGTATAACAGAAGACGTATAAATTTTGGAACTGGCCCGCCTGAAATGCCTCCATATATAATGCGATCCGTATACGCGTGTGACGTGTAATAGACATACCCAGCATCACGCAGAGGGGGTTCAATTGAGCTGAACCTTCGGCCCGTTTGGGCTCCCAGCAAGACTATAAAAGAAAGGAAAAGAGAGAGTAGAAAAACTGTCAAGCAAAACAACAATGAAGAACGAAGAAAAACGAATCAAGAGAATAACAGGAGAAAGATAAGATATTGTGAAAGTGTGGAAAAGTGGAGATTTCACGTTGGAGGAAGGCGGTTGCTATGCGGTATATACGCTGCAGGCGACTGCATTGGGTTGGGGGCGGGGAAAGAAATGGACCGTAAGATGTCATAAAACCAAGGACAGAAAAGGAGGGGGAAGCCTTGGCAAAAAGTAGATGTCAATCTGCCGCGTAGAGCGAGCTCTCTAATGCTGTTGTTCTTCAGGAAGCTGGTGTTTCGCGGAGGAGCCCTTTCCACGCCATGTCGAGACTGCCGGTATATTCGCCTTGAAGCGTTGTTCCTCCGTGCCATATGCGCGGGGCGTCAGCTTGATAAGGGTATGGAGAGGAACTTGCATCCAGGGACTCTGTTCCTGAGACATGTTCAAGAAGTAGGCGTAGATACAACGGAGGACAGCCTGGTGAGTGACGATCATGACATTTTCGCTGCGCTCCAGCTCCATAATGATGGGTTCCAGCCGAATAACGACATCACGATATGACTCGCCGCCTCTATAGCGGTAGTTGTATTTATCGTCATCGCGAGCTTTGAAATCTTCGGGGTATTTCTCGGCGATTTCTTCGTAGGTGAGTCCGTCACAGACACCGGAATCGAGTTCGTCGAGGGCTTTCCATTCCAGTTTGTCATACCCGGTTTCCAGTGCGAGATGGCGAGCGGTCTGAATTGTGCGCTTTAGAGTGGAGGTCCAAATGACCAGTTTAGCTCCAGGAGGGACGCCAGACTCCTTGAGAAGTCGCGGGAGAGCACGGGCATACTGTTCTCCTCGCGAAGAAATGTCAGCGTCGCCGCCGATTCTGCCTAGCAGATTAAATTCGGATTCTCCGTGCTAGACAAAATGATGTCAGTATAGAGCAACTTCGAACAGTGATATTTTCAACTACGTAACTTACTCGAGAAAGCCAGATCGAACGAGGTCGGATATGGAGGTTCTGGATATAATAAACTAGACGGCTGGACAGGTAATCTTTAATTTGATTGATGATCACAGTAGAGCTAACATTGATGAGTTTGACATATGCGTAATCCTTTTCATCTTCATCAATCGTCTCGTAGACTTTTTCATAATGGCGGATGCGGCTTCTGAAGTCCAGCGCAGCTAGCTCTGGGTCCTGACCAATGTAGTCTGGCGATGTCGTCTTGACTTCAAGAATGTTGCTCATGATGACCTCCTCATCGTCACATTGAGATTCGACGAACAGAGTTGCGATCCCGGCCTCAGCACAGGTGCGGTGGATCCATTTACGGCGGCTCTTGGTCGAGTTGGTTGCGTCTAGAATTGCTACTTGACCGTCGGTGTTGGCGAACCAGCGTAGCATATCAGTCAACGCTGCCTCCGCGGCAGCTCGTCGCAATCGTTCTCCGTCGGGATTAGAGGTGTCGAAGAAAGCAGCAGTTGGTTGAGGTGTATCTTGACGTCTATATTGGCCAACGTTGAATATTCTAGCGGGGATACCAACCCAAGCCAAGTAACGCAGAGCTATAGCGCGATGTTAAAAGAATATTCGAATAGAAAAGAGGGCGATTGTGTGAAACGCAGGGTGGTATAGTATGCATACCTTTACCGGCGATTAAACTCTTGCCCCGCGCTGGCAAGCCAACCATGACAACGCAGATCTTATAATCATCGTTCTGCATGGGAGAAGTGTTAGTATTGGGGGGGGGGAAACACAAGGAAGAGGAAGAATTTTCAAAACGTAGACACGCCATCTTTGTCTGGGTGGTTGGTCGTCGTGGTAATTGAGCAAGGAGTTGATGGAATGATTTTTCGCAAATAAAAGGCAAGTGATAGCCAATTTGAAAAAAAATAGACAGGGAGAGATAAAAAGAGATAAAAGGATGATGAAACACAGACTAAGTGTAAGAGAACAAAAATACACGAAATTCAAAGAAGACCATAAGGCTGAGAAAAAAAGTTTCAGACAAAGCACATGTGAGATGCGAGATGGTATGTGAAGGCAGTGACATCGAAGCTTGTGTGTGCTATTACAAATAGCTATCACAAATAACTATCACAAATAGCCAGCAGAGAAAGGCGATCTTTGTCATGAAGCTCAATCAAGTGTTGGTGATTGTCATTGCAAACATCTATTTTTAAAGCTGCTGCCATATAGTTAACTAGGGATAATGAGTCAGCCAAATGAGGTTGAGATATGCAGATTGACAGTGTATGCCCATGACTGCATGCCTTCTCCTTTTGTGGAATATCTGAAGCAAGACACCTCGAATGGCCAAAAGGGCTTTCCTAGAGTGCTACAATAGGAAGATGGCAGTGATGGATGCTGGGGTCTTGCTGCTACCCACAGTCTGCTCCCGAGATATCGGGTGTGCCGTTTTTAGCCCCAATCTTCAATATCATCGGCCAAATGTACTGGCCGCCAAAGACTGGAAGAAATGCGCCTGGGTGGAGCCCCTGTTCGTGCCACGGAATGGACGTTGGTACCGTCCCTCCATCCGACTAGGCTGTTGGTTCAAGTCTATGCCACGTTTGGGCACAACCCCCTCCACCCCCGCCTGCATCGAAGAGGAACCGACATTGGGTCAGTCTGGACAGGGTACTATCTGCCTGTCCTAGCACCAAGTCGACAAGGACGAAAACAGGTGGGATGAATACTGCACTTGGGCGAATCAGGGAGAGCATGAAGTTGCCGTACATCTCGCACTCCGCACGCCGCCGGTGAGCACTGAAGAGCTTGCTTGGTCTGGACTTTGGCTGTGGTTATGAAGGAACCCCTCAACCTTGTCGTGAACTGAGGCTTCAGGATGATTGGCAGCATGAGAAGCTCAGCCAGAGTTGACAGGGATGGTGCGAAATAGGGGCTTTCGAGGAATTGTGTTCCCTGCAACAAAGCAGTGTCAAGGAAACAAAAGGCCATTGTTCACCCAGCCTCATTTTGATGCATGCAGACAGAATTGGTTCAACTGGCTATAACAATATGTAACTCAGGGGCTCAGGAACTTGATAGCAAATCTTCTTCTTTATTTCACAACCCACCACTCCATGGCTGTTATGTGTCTGCGCTGAAGATGCGCCGCAACAGCCCACTCAGCAAGCAGGCTGGGACGTCCGGTGGGGGGCGCGACTTGTGGGGGTTTCACATGACTGATATGACTGCCAGCCAGCGGTTTCCTAAGGCCCTAAGGAACAGGGAACAGGGACCAGGGAGCAAGAAACTGGAGCAAGAAACTGGAACAATCAACTGAACAAGAAACTGGGGCTGGGGCTGGGGCTGGGGCTTGGGGCTGGGGCTTGGGGCTTGGGGCTTGGGGCTGGGGGCTGGCAAATGGACCGGAAGATCCCGCGTGGTCATGTGCTCGCCTGCTGCATCCGATGCTGTGAACATGTTCCAGCAGACAACAACAGCTTATCGAGGAGAGCGATGAAGCAGGCGGGCGGGGGGATGAGCAGCTCACCTATCAACAACAAAACAACGACATGGAAGCTGGCGGGAGAGCTACATGCGAACAGAACAGCTCAATTGGCAATGCAGAACAAGAAAAGCATTGAAAAATTATTGAAATATTGAAATTGAAAAAGAAAAAAAAAGAAAAAAAATTAAGAAATTGAAGAAATTGAAAAAAAAAAAGGAAGAAAAAACTGCCTGTGAAGAACTAAACTGAAAGAAACAAAGGGGGTCGAAGAAGAAAAGAAATAGCTTGGCTACTGCTCACCGACGCAGAGAAGATCTTGGTCGTCAAAGGCCGACGGCCAGATTCACCAGACATGACGGCAGTGTGTTGATGTGTGCTGCGTAGAATTAGTCAACTTTCGGATCTCCGTCAGCAAGGGGATCGGGAGGAACTGCAGGCAGCGGGGGGTGACAGAGGTTGTGCAGCTACCTCACGGATCTGGGGGGGTGGGCGAATGGTTTTGTCTCGCTGCTTGGATTAATACATGGAGGGTAGTCCGAGAATTTAAATGATCGTTCCTGAATAGTTGAGCTCAGCTGGGGGTCCTTGGTGTGCTGTTGTGCTGTTGTGCTGTTGTCGTTGAGCGGGAACGGCGCGACAGGATTGGGCAGCAAGACTCTTTTTTTAAAACTGCCAGTAGAGTCGAAGTTGATTAGTTAAACTACTTGCTTGGGTGCTGGCTACGAATGCGCGGGTATGCGAGATGTCCCGAGACACAGATTTGGTAGTCTGGCTGAGACTCCGCCAGGAACCGTGAGTTTATTTCGGGAGAGCCAAGTTCAAAGGGTCCACCACACTGGATATGGCGGGTTGTGTGAAGGCAACAACCCGAGCTGAGCGACGAGAGAGAAAGATTGAAAACCAAATAACTAACTAGTTACAGGAGAGAGAGATGAGACAGTGTGTGTGTGTGTGTGTGTGTGTGTGTGTGTATTTGAGGAAACAAAATCAGGTGTAGATGGGTCCTTCAACTGGTTACGATTAATCAGGTGAATAACAGAGAGAGATAAAAAAAAAAAAAAAGGATTTCTCCCTTCCAAGGCTGTTTTTTAATTAGAGCAAATGGTGTGAAATTTGCCAATAGGTAACTAGGTAAGTAAATAAATTTGATATTAGTTAACTGTGTTTTCACCTTCATTCTAGGGAGACAAACGCCACATCCTCTCCGCTTTATTGCCACGAAAGGTCGTGTGAAAGAGTGTTGTGGATGGATGACGTCACACACATCGTTGGAACTCGGTGAATTTTGCCAGAGGAACGGAAGAAAGGGGTTGATCTGTAATTACACACTGGGTGGAACATATTATTTATCATGAGGTGCCAGATCCTATTCCTTACACCGCCCATTCTTCTGGCTGGTTCCCAATTTCAAGGGCGAGGCTGTTAGTCTCTCGCCATTTGCTCAGAGAGATTCCTTCGATTCTTTTTCCATAAGGCGTTATTATAATTATTAGATGGGCCGAAGCATCGCAGAATCTGGGGTGGCCGCGGCAGGCTGCGAATAGAAAAAGCTAAATTAATCCGTGGGGAATCCAGGGAAAATAGCAAGAAAGAAGCAGGCAAAAAGTTTGTTTCTTTTTAAAGCCCAATCAATATTGCCTTGCCTCCTCATCTGCCTCAATCCGAAACCCATATACCTACCTTCCTGTCATGCCTTTGATAAAATTCGCCCTGAGTATTCAAAAACTCAATATCCGCCCCCATCTCCACCCCTTCCCCTTGCTCTTCTCTATGGTCTGACCTAGCCTACCCTTGGACTGGCGCATCACCATCCCACAACATCAATCCGCAGCTACGCGCGGGTACACGCCCATGTCTAACATACATTTTATAAGAGCCTTCCACTGGTTTCCCCTACGCATCTATAAAAACGGCCGGATTGACACAGATGCTCCACCAGGGCTTCAGCATTGGTGACGGTGCCATATATTCACATCAGTTGAGAACAGTGGCTCAAACGCCGCTGCAGTATCAAAAAAGGTCTTCTCATCGATGCCCTGTATGGGAACTACTGTGTCCGTTACTGGTGTGGAAGTGCATTCGAGAATAGTAACTTTCAGAAGCGCGCATTTAGAACACATCCGGCTGGGTTCGGAGCCAGAAGAAAAGTGGCCCGGGCCGAGGTAGATGTATCCCTTGCCACCACGCCGGTCGGGGACTTCACACCTTCCATCACGCTAAGGCCTAGCATGCCGTAGACAGCGTCGTGGGGTACCAGTGGCAGGACCTACGGCCGTTGGGGGCCGGGGAGTGTGAAAAGGTAATTGTATGCGTGACTACTGTGGAGATGTCGGGTTCTTTGGCATCCACAATAATAGAGTCTGCACCGGTTTGTACGGAAGATCTGTTGCGTTCGGAATGGAATCGACGGCAGAAATTGACCTCTGCGATCTACTTGAACCTGTTAATTGCGAGAGCGTCATCTGCTCCTCCCGTGACCAGCATTCCTCAGTTGACGTGTCGGGGCTCTTTTTCTGTTTTCTTTTTTCTTTTATTCTTTTATTCTTTTATTCTTTTCTTTTTTTTTGTCTAATCGTAGTATGGCATCCCTCTACTACATTACAGCTAGGAAGGACAGTTTCAATCAACTGTTTGGCGACAATTTTGTGGGTGCGTAGCTACTATTAAAGGGGAATGAAGTTTACTTACCCATTTTACTGACAGTGTCTCCGAAGCTGTTGAAATGCAGGGGACTAGACCGTTTTTGGAGGTTCGCAAGTGGATTTCCAGTCAAAATCTCACCACCACTCTGCCCTACATGAGCAGCAAGAGTCAATATACTGTTGCATTTCCGCCCAGTGTAGTGTTGCTGTCTAGGCTGAGGAGCCATGATTGGATCGAAACTGCTATTGTCCTCTATACATGCCCGGCAGCGATAAGTATCCGGGTCATCAGGAAGCGGGCAGAAGTATTGAGTTATTAACAATTGCAACTGGGTGACAAGCGCTGCGGGGTTTAGAGCCAATAAACCGCTAGAAATCTATTAGACATTTTTAATTCAAAAGACTCTTTTTTCTCAATTACTTACCACTTGTCACTCATAGAACTATCACTGGTAGACGCTGGTGAGCATGGCGTCTTGGGAAGGGGCTTTTTGGCTCACCTATGATGCTTTCGTACTGGTCCCGTTGGAAACGACTGATGCTGAAGAATCTGATTTAACGGATGATTTGGCTAGAACGGCCAGAAAACACCTGGAAGCGGCCAGTTTGAATTTCAAAAATATGGATATTTGGATCCTTGATGTCTGGTGATTGAATTGAATTTGAATTGCTGCTACTCTTGATTTTCTGCGTTGGATACTCTCGGGTGGCAAACGGCGGCTCTGTGGGCTTACGCTTTGGTAGCCGCATTGTCTTCTTGTCAGTTTGCCTATCCTCGTATAGGTCGAAATCGCCGCTAGCGTCATCATCCACCCATATTGAAGGATATTTTAATGGATCTTTGAAGCGAAGTTCGTGCTTTATATAGCCCTCTAGTAAACGGGAGGACAACCTCAGTTTGGTCGTCTTCTCTAATAAGATCGAGAGCAGCATTAATGTCTTCGTAAGAGTACGGCATGAGGGCACCTGGACCTCCTTTCATAAATTGTAAGAGGAACGCGTTTTGTTATAAACGTCGAGGCTAACGAGGACTATTGCGGTAATGGGAATGATATTTGTGACAGAGCATAGTTACTAGTTAGCTCTGACGCAGCGAATCTAGCCAAACTGATCCTGACTCGACAGCAGCAGTAATGCTAACCCGGGATACGGGAGCCAAACTGCAGAGAAGCGTAAAAATTGGTGCCGGGTGTAGAGCCGTCTTGTCTCCCCATCGAACTAGGGAATATGATCAGAGTCTTGACAAGAGTTGAAGTATGATCAAACATAACAGCAGGAAATGAAATCCAGCTATAGTGTCAAATGAGAAGAATAGAGAATAAACAAAGAGTAAATGAAGTTTCAGATCACAATGACAGAGGGAGAGAGAAATCTTGGTTGTCACCCACTATGGGGCTGCTTGTTAGAAGTAAACACAATTTCCCATCACCATGATGATAAGTTAATACTCATGAAGCTGACAGGTCACATAAGATGGGCCTCCCTAACTGAGGTGTATAGACTGGCATACGAGGACATCAAAATCTTAGCCAAAGAAGATAAACCCGTTCCCCCGGCACTAACTTCCAAGATCAGTGAGGATTATTCCGAAAAATGATCAGGCGTCTCAAGAGCGCTGTCACCAGAGGAATTCCAAACGGTTATCACAAATATGGTATCCACCATGCGCACATATGGTTGGCTAGGGATCACTGGGGCTCTCTCCGGCAGTGTACTGCCTATAAACACGACAGGATCCGTTACCCTCTGTCCGGCCTGGTAGTAGGGAAAGCAGGACATGGAAACCTCTATGGATAGGAAGGCCAGCGGGCAGTTCTTGTGTAATACGCGCTGCCAAAATGGGCTTCCAGGAAGAGAGCAGACAGCTACCAACTCATGTTGTGGCTGACATATTAAGCCCACCTTGTAGGGAGCGACAGAGCATGGAAGCAAGTAGATAAAACGACGCAAAAGCGCTCACCATACGATTATGGACACAGTTGGACAGTATATTTGGCAAAAGGAGCAGCTTTTGTTGGGATAACCCTGCATTGATGTATCACCCTGGCCACTGACCCGCGACAGCAGAAATGTCTCAATCAACTGCACTGACGTCCTTTGCCCATTTCCCAGTCCTTCAAATTCAAATGGGAAAACAGGAGCATCAAAATGCCGCCCTTATCTGTAGCATGCAATGGCCCGCCATGAAACTGTGATATGAAATATCTGATTGTTTGCCTCATGAAGTCTAAAAGGAAAAAAGGAAAGTTGATATTGGAACGGAGCAAATGCCAAGACGCTAGTACAGTCAGCATATTAAGCCTCAAACAATTATCTTCCGCTTCTTTAAACAATCTCTATATTTTTGCTCTGAATCTTCTTGTTTTTGAGTGCATTCCCAAACCGTTCTTATTAATCATACAAATACTGGGTTATCTGGGTTGTCCATTCTGGAAGACGGCAGGCAATGTTTCGATGTCTCCAGACCTTTTAGGCATTCTCAAAACCAACCCCCCCTTCGCCCCATCATGAGGCTGTTTCTCATCCGCCACGCCGAATCCGAGCACAATGTTGCCCAGGTCTAGTATGAAGCATTTACTTCTCTCTTTGTGATCTGTATGCCAAGCGTGGGCCGGAGCTCATACTGGTCAATTTGCTTTCAGTGCAGGAACAACGGACTCGGCGTTGACAAACCATGGCATGGTACAAATTCAGCGCTTAGCCCTGCATTTTAAGGAGCAAGGCATCGAGTTTACCACAGTATTCTCGTCAGATTTGCTACGGGCTCGCATCACTGCTGAAGGGATCTGTAGCCTTGTTGGGGGAGAACAGCAGAGTAGGGTTGGCACACAAACATCACCTGTCATCTTACCTCTTCTGAGGGAGAAAGACTTTGGTTGCCTGGAAGGAAAATCATGGCTTGCTACGCGGGGCGGGGATGGGAAATCTGGTGCTGAGACGATGGCTGGAGACCCTGAATCTCAGGCCTCTATCGCTTCTCGGGTGGATATGTTCCTCACCAACCATCTGTTGCCAGTCGTTTCCGATATGGGTCATACTGCACAGTCTGTTGCGGTGGTTTCCCATGGTGTCTTGCTCTCTGCACTCTGGGAAGCTTTGTCTCGACTGTTTCTTTCAACACACGTCATCCTGGGCCCCAATGTTGAGGTTGGAAGACGCATTTCGTCGTGGTCCAACACTGGCTACCTAGAACTTGCTGTCGGAAGGTTGGTTGAAGATAAATCCTCAAAACCAGCTCCGGCAATGGTCGACGGCCAAGGGAACCGAAAGGATGCTTCCAACAAAACTCAAGTGGTTGATAACGCTCCAACGCCGGTACTGTCTGGATATGCGATGACAGTCCTAACAATAAACGGGAAACAACATCTCCATAATCTCAGGCGCACTCCTGGCGTGGGAAGGTCCAAACATGATGCCTCGCAAAAACGCATCGATAGTTTCTTTCAGAGGCCGAAGAATTAGGCTTGGCATCCTACAATACCACTCCTGCTCGCCTAGTACTGCTAACTGGTATGTTGCTCCATGCTCTTTCTGTTCGGCTATTCGTTTCCTTCCCTCCCTTACTTCATGCCCCTGTACTTTTCTATGATGAAGCAAATTTTCACACAGACCTGTTCCGAAACATGTATGTGGATAACAAAAAGTACCAACTGTTGTCTGACTCTTCCCTCCATTAATTCCTTGTCGCCGCTCCACTCAAATGCAGTTCATGCTCATGGATATTGACTAATCTGTGTTGAAGACTCTACGGATTGTTATTTTTAAGAGGTGATGTGATAAATATTGAGCGTCTTGCTCTGATGGTTGTTCACCATAAAATCAGCCAATCCCACTGCGGAATGGTGTATATCCAATGGCAAAAAATCCTTAGAAATAAGAATTTTGTGGTCTCCCAATTCTCTCCCTAAGATGTATTAAACTCAAAACACCAACCTTATTGACAAATATTATTTGATCCTGTTTGGGCTGCCAACCAGGAATAAGATATCACAAAGAGTATACATGTACATATTGCAGGATAGCCACGCCGACATTCTGCCAAAGAAAAGGCACACGGATAAAAGGATCCCCATGGATACCAAGAGTGATAGAAAAACATGCTAGTGGTGTATAAAAAGATGTTCACCTACAATGGCAAACAGTGAGATGAATGGATAGGTATCTCTACATAAAAGAAACCCCAATGCAAAAAATACTCCAATCAAGAAAATTAAACCATAACGCGTAAAGCATAAAACCATAAGAAACGAACGGCACCAACTTGCCAGTCTGAAATTATCCATTCTCCAACCTCCCTTCATCACTCAACTCCACCCCCCTTCCATTAACAATAGCCTTCATATCAGTATTGCCACCCGTGCTCCCACTGCCAGCCCTCCTCTTCTCACTGCCCCCGTCATCCTTCTCAAAAAGCACCACCTTCTTCAACCCCTTCTGCCGCAACAAATATTTGCGGAAAACATACACAAGCTCCGCCACCCCATACTTAGCATGCACCATTGTAGGCACCGAGAACACCTGATCAAGCTCCTCAAGCGTCTTCCCCTTTGTCTCCGGCATGAACAGCAGCACAAGGCAAAACCCAACAATATTCCAACCTGCATACCACCCAAACGCACCCTGCGGTTTAAACGCATGCTTCAAACTCGGCCACGTAATCGCAAGCATGAAGTTGAAAAACCACGTCGTCGACGTCGCCAGTGCCATACCATGCGAACGCACGTAGAGCGGGTACGCCTCGGCGGAATAAGTGAAGGGTACGGGACCTTCGCCGGGTGAGTATGCGATGCCAAAGAGATAGATGCCCAGCGCGACGCAGCCGGTATGGGCTCTGCGCATGGTGGCAGAGCCGTCGGTGGGGATCCAGAAGGAGAACCCCGTCAGCAACTGGAACAGACCCATGAGCGGGAAGGTGACGAGGAGGAGGTTGCGACGGCCGAATGTATCGATTGTGTAGATAGCTGGGATTGCGAAGAGCCAATTGATGACTCCAAAGCCGAAGGAGGCGGCTAGAGACGCCTTTTGAGAGAAGCCAGCGTCCAGGAAGATTTCGGAGGAGTAGTAGGCTATTACGTTTACACCACAGAACTGCAGGTACAATGTTAGGGGAGGAGTGTACATATGCATGGAATAATAGCAGTGGGGGGTTTGGGGGGTGATAACCTGTTGCATAAACATGACAATTTCGGAGGCAATTAGTGCACGTCGATTGCGCGGGACGGTGATTAATTCAAGAATCTTGGCTTGACCCAACTTCATGGCCGCCTCCGCCTCGAGCAGAGTGTGCATGTAGAACAGGTCTCGGGCTGCCTGTACTTTCATAAAGCGCAAACGACACATAGATCGGTATGCCTTGTAATGGCTACCTTTGCTCATATACCAGCGGGGGGACTCGGGACAGGCGAAAACGAAGGTGCATACCAACATGGCAGGGAACATGGCGGAACCTAACATCAAACGCCACCCTAGCCCAGTCACGGTGGGAGTGTCGCGCACCTCGAAGAAGACAAGGTCAGACATGTAGCCGAGCATGATGCCGAAGGCAGTCCACATCTGCCATTGCATAACCAGCGCACCACGAATGGCCGGTGGGGTTGTCTCTGCAGCATAAATGGGCACTGTGGCTGACTTGGGGCCGATTCCGAACCCTAGGGCAAAGCGACTGATGAATAAATGCCACCATGAGTTCACGAAGCCTTGCCAGAAGCACGCGATAGCGGAGAAACAGCAGGTAATAAACACCGTGCCCCGCCGGCCGAACCAGTGGTTAAAGGGGACAGTAAGCCAACAGCCTATTAGGGAGCAGCACAGATACGGAGCTGCATTCACGAGGCCGACGAGCCATGTTGAGCGTGGGTCGAGGCCGCCGATGCCGAATTGGGATTTGTAGAAGATCTGCGCTCCATTGACGACGGATTCGTCTAAGGTTTTGTAAAACGCTGTTAGACTTTGAATTAAAGGGAGGGGAGGCCCCAGGGGAGGCCCCGGGGGGGAGGTGTTGGGGGGGGGTTATAGTTCAAGCTTCCGATCCAAATGAAGCGGAACCATGGAACAAGGAAAGGCAAAGACAGCAAGGCGAAAACTCAATTCTAGGGGAAATCAACGAATGTGGTTGGTGGGGTTATTATACAAGTATTGAAGAGCTTCAAAATCGACAAACTGAAATGTGAAATAAGGATCAGGGAACGAGAAGGCTGGTGGAGAACAGTCATAGAAAGAAGTGAAAAACACTAACCCATCCCCTGAACGGCCGCGCTGAGCGAGCAAAGGATGATAACCAGATACATAAGACCGGGCTGCGACCACCGATTCGTAAACTCCTTCCTGAGCACCTGCAGCTCCTTCTCCGTCAAGCCCTGGACACTTTCAAATTGCTCCGGCGCCTGCGCCAGCACCGCGCCTAGTTCAAAGGCGCGGATATCCTCCTCGTCGCCGATCTGGTGCTGGCGGGCATAGCGGCCGCCGCGTTTCATGAGCGTGGCATGGCTGAGACCGGCAAGAGGGTTTGCGAGCTTAGCATTGAGGTTCCGCCGTGCGCGTTCTGCAGCAGTGAGTGATTCGCGCTGTGACGTGGCGAAGGAGTGCTGCCGTTGTGTGGGAAAGGGAGTTGGGGTGCTGGCGGTGGTATAGGAGGCTTTTCGGTTTGTCGTAGTGGTGGCTATGTGATCGAGTTCAGAGGAGGAGCGGTCTGAGACGCCTGGTTCTGTGTCGCATTCGAAGAATTTCATGATATCGATTGAGAGGGATGTCGATGAAGATTTTGGAGGGGCGGATTTTTGTAAAGGAGCGGGGTGTATTCGAGTGGTGATGACGGCAATGAATGAAAAAATCTGGGGAGAGTTCCAGGCGGGACTCTCAATAGGAAGCAGATTCGATATAAATTGAGTGAGAAAGTGATATCATCTTGTCGCAGAAAGAGTACAAGAGTAAATTCGTGAGAGGGAGCCCGCCCGCCAGTGCGGATCGTGGACGGATATGTACGATGCGGAAATTTGCTCGGGTGAGGAGAAATTAAGCCGATATTTCTCTCTATTAATTGTCTATGAATATTTTGCTTTTCTCCAGTGTTTTCAGCAAAAATCCGCACGGAGGGGATGAATGGGAAAAAGCGACCCGCAAGCATTTATATAACATTTATGAATAATGATATAAACCTCTGGAGGCTGTCCTTGGGGAGCTTTTGGGTTTGTTTCCGGCGGGGAAGAAACGAGGGCAGAGTTCGTGATGACAGTAGCGGCTATTTAACAAAACGGCCGCCCCCCAGCTAGCGGGCCAACGAACCATGTAGTTATCGAACTCGAGTTGGAGCAAGGGCTAGTCTCGGTGAGTTGGCCGAGTAAATCAATTAAATCTAGTGACCGGTGCTGGGAGTGTAGCCACTGAGCTAAATATAAGGATTGGATAGCCCCAAGCAGAGCAGTGGAAAATCAGGGCTGTCAAGGCTGTCCAAGGCTGTCCAAGGCTCTCAAGGCTCTCAAGACTCCACCCCTGGGCGCTTCGCATCTTCGCACGAAGGGACCCAAGGCCATGGTGTGTAGTTATGGAATAGACAGTACTTGCCTGCATGGATCTGACCCGCAGAAGTAGTTATCTGACCTGGAGAACAAAGAGTCCGCCGGGTTCAGAATACGATGTCCCTGTTTCAAAGAACCGCGCCGGAAGAGGCAAACGCTGACCGATCCGGCTTATCCCCGCTGGCGACTTGCTTTAATCCCTAGTTAACTAAATTAACTTCATTGTGTCAGCGCGTCGGGGAAATGGAGCGGGGGAGGGAGAGGGACTCTGTACTTTGTTAGAGGAAGAGGGCAAATCGGCGCAGAATCAAGAACCATCCCTGTTGTTATGCGCTGTGGTGCTAAGTTAGCTAGTTAACGACTACTTTCTTGCTTTTTGCACGTTAATTAGTTAACTAGTTGATAGGGTGATAAAATAAAACTCCACGAGGCCGACTTCTGGTGTTGGTTGAAGGCGAGGGAGAACAAACGACGCGGAGAATTCAATCATGGAGTCGTTAGTCAGTTAGGGCTAATCGCATGCAAAAGAAGCCCGACTCCCCTCACATCTAGTTAACAAGTTAATTAATGCCACGGTTGGCTACTACAGGTATGGAGAACAGCCAGCAACTATGTTCAAACATCCAAGACTTCGTTTTTCCCTCAACCAGGAGCACCATAAACTAAACTAAGTTGAGGCATTTAGTTCTATTTAGTTTTGTTGCTCAGTCGGGCGACCCATCACGATTTATATAGGCAATTTTTGAAGTTGGGGAGTCGGAAAACACCGATAGAGCAACTACTCCGACGAAGATGAGTTCTGTCGTCCATGATGGTTGCGAAAGCAGTGCTATGACCCCCCCCCCCCCCCCCACACACACAGAATGAGTCGTATGCGGTTAGTTCCTGTGACGGAGAAAACGGACTGACATGCGTGGGTGGAGCCAGATCCTGACGATTCATTAATGGAAGATTGATTCAGGAGAGATAAAAATAGGTTCAATATTAGTTTGCCCCCCCTCCCCCCTCGCGATGACGCCGATAGTTAATAAGGCACCTCAGAAGATGGTCTGCAGATGATAGTAAGACAAAAAGCTGCAACACAAAAGCTTGTCGCATTTTCCTTAATTATTAAACATCCCACCGGCCGGTAAGCTGGAAAATAGCCAAGAATCCGGTATGTCGAAGAGAAACTGTGAGTCCTGTGGTAGCAAAGAGGTAATTAGATGTCAGTGTCAATTCAACCCAGAGAGCAACACACAACCGATGGCAAATGAAATGGACAGCAGGAAATTATCAATCCGGACATCACATTGCTCCAGAAAAGTTGAACCCCTTCTCCACCAAGGCTCTGCATTCAATAGGAAGAAAGCAAGAGAACCAAAATAGAGATGAAACTCACCAACCCTTCCCATTCAATCCCCTGATACTTCTCATACCCTCCGTCATAGTCATTATTACTACAGTCATTCGCCCCCGCACCCCCGCCCTCCTCTTGCTCGTCAACCTCCCCACACCCAAACTGTTGCGCCCGCTCCTTTAACCACGTATAGCATTCTGCAACCGCCACCTTACCCGCCTCTATAATCGCTTGTTCGATATCTGCCACCCCGTCTTCCATCGCCTTGATCTGCGCCATCACACACCTGCCGAACAGATACCCCTTAATATTCGTCTCGCCCGCCAGGATCCGCCCCTTGGCCAATTGCATGTAATTCTCTGTTGCGGCATGCAGCTCACTTCGCCATGATCGTGACGCTGCTGACAATGAACAGGACAGAAATGGAGCAACGGAAGAAGGGAAGATCGACGAGGCGTCCTCCTGCAGCTGATAAAGAAGTTCGAGGCAGATGGTGAACTTCGCGTAGATGAGGGTGCTGCGAACGAAGGCTCCGGAGTGGAGTGTTAGGCGGTAAAAGTCATCGTGATCGTTGGAGTTCCGGGAGTTTGCGTTTGGATTTCCATTGATGCAAGGATTGCAACCATTGTTGTTAGTGGTGTTCATACCTCCGCTAGGTGAAAGGATGTGGAGAGCTGCGTCGAGACAGATTTTTCGGGAGAAATAGAATCGAGGGTTTGTTTTTGATTTGACAGCGAATGGGTGGTGTAGAGCCAGTATAAACCTATTAGTGAGGACAGAGATACAGTTCATTTGAAACGGAGTTGGTCGCGTGGTTCCCTCTTGCGAAGAATATCCTGTATTGAGGAGATAAAGCGAGTTTTCTCGATGGATGGTGATGAGCTCACTGCTGAGTTTCAGCACTTCATCGTACGAAAGCTCGTGGCGTATACCGTTCATCGCTTTTGCCATCTCAAGCCTGACGGGGACGGACTTCATAAGCGCAATTTGGACTGTAGTTTGTGTGAATTTGTCCGTGATGAAGGGCAAGGCGGCGGGGTCATCAGCATTCATGTCCAGGTCGTCAATACTCGATGGAGGTTCGCAATCATAATCGTCACGACAGATCAGCGGTGCTCCACCCGCATCCATGCTTGACTGCAGTACAATTTCCAGCACGGAAGCCCATAGCCTTCTCCGTAGCTCTGCTTGGAAGCTGGGCATCTTTGGAAGATGTTGTGGATCGCGATGTAGACCAACGTACATTGCTGCTCGTAATAAGGAGCCACTCAATATCCAAACCAGGTCACCATCAATTGCACAGGTCTGCCGGGCTAAAAGAAGAAGACACTGTATCTGTACACAAGAGATATTAACACGGGTTTTCTCTGAAGGGCCACCTAGCCAGGCCTGAGCGGCATAGACCCACGGCGCTGCGGTTGTCCGTGGCGTTATAGAGATATCTTGACCCTTATAAAAGCAAGTGCCGAGAGCCATAACGAGAAGCAACCGAACTACAAAAGCAGGGCTGGCCGACTGTGGATTGCTCCAGAATTGAAGATATTCTTGCTGGAAAGTGGGCACATGCAGGATTCGATAGACAGTCTCGAAGGTACGGAGATAGCCTTGAACAAGTAGGTCGGCGGTCTCACGCGTTGGCACCAGGTCTTTAAAATCCGCAGGATCTGGTTGGCGAATTGGTCGTCTAATTTTGGCAGCTCTTGCCAATACCTTGCATCGATCTAATATTTTGGCTATCCCTGTATCATCCTCTACCTCAAGCCGAGCCCTCAAGCCATACACCGTATGGAACTTATGGTTTGGTCAGCTTATTTATTTAAAAGTGAGTGAGAAGTTGATGTGATTCCTCAACAAAAAGTTGGATCTATAGCAATGGAGAAAAGTAAGGGGGGCAGAAAGGGAGGCCCTCTAACCTCTCTAGCACAATTCATCCAATGACTGGAACCGAAAAACCTCGTTTTCGAGAAGACCCCTCTCACAGCAGGTTCGGACTCTGCAGGAACCTCCAAAGAAGCTAACAGCCTGCTTGCGGGTGATGAAGATATATCAATCGTAGACGTGCCTGCATTTTCAGCCAGCTTCTTCTCCAACAGCTGGACACGGTCGAGCAGAGCCTGGATTGTCACCGCAGACTCGAAGTTCCGACCAGCATTGGGAGCAGATCTAGCAATATCACTCCTCTGATCATCCGCATATGAACTCTGGTCCGATAGATTTGCAGTCCCAGGGGAGGGATATGCGTGAGTGTTCCCATAACGGTTCCCTCGAGAGATAGATGCAGTGAGCTTTGGAGTTAGTTGAGGTCGAGGCTGAGGCAGCTGCCGCTGCTGCTGCGGCGGTAGCGGTAGCGGTAGCGGTGGGTGTAGTTGTTTCTGTGAAGGTAGACTGGCATACAGTCTTGAGGTAGAAGCAAAAGAAGACGGCGTGGCAGCTGGCACATAGGTACATGCATGTATTGGGATGCTTTTGGACCTTTGGCATTGATTGCATGGCAAATTCTGGTCGCATTTAATTTTCCGGCGACGACATTGTTCGCAGGCCAACGCTGGACGGCGACGTTTCCGCGGTGCAGGATGGCGTGCATAAGGAGTAGCAGACTCCATCATTTCCCGCTCGTGATACTCATAGTTACTACTCGGAGCTGTAATTTCAACAGTCTGTGCAACCCTCAATCTCATCTCTGTACGGGATCTCCGTAGTTACTCCGTAGTCAACTAACCAACTCCTTTCACAAGGCCAAACGGGGTATAAAACAAGTAGTTATGACCGCAAGCAGAAGTTTCACAAAATGCATTTACCAGCTCAACCTTCCAAGCAACATATATTTTCCTTTCCTTTAACCCCTGCCGCCTGCTCCTCTTCCCCCCCCCCCTCCCCATCGTTTTTGAACCGGGTTGATTTCAAAGCTTCGGGCTTTTCAGGGGTAAAAGACCGAGATATTCGGGGTTTTCGGTGATTTTTTAACGGTATCATTAGTTAACTAGTTATCACGTGCCCGTTATTTTCTGTTCCAAAGGGTTCTGCTTTCTCGGCTCTGGGAAAATCCAGTGTCATCAAAATCGATGTTTCGACATCTAATCCATGTATAAATAAGTATCTAGCACATTATAGACCGTGTCTTTGATTCCTCCACAGCAAACGGGAATTTCCCGCCTGAGTTTTTTCATTACTATTCTTCTGGCAAGCGTGCTCTGGAGGCGGGAGATTGGCGTTTGACCTGAAGTCTTGTCAGATTTTGGGCGTCCGCATTCCATGCTATCTCCTGGACGGTCCAGGACGACCCAGGACGACCCAGGACGACCCAGGACGAATCCCTTCTGGCTGCTGAAGTTATCCCTGTTGCTCCCGAGTCCAGATTTTCAAGTCCAGTCGGCCGACGGGTGTTCTCGTGCCCGACGAGCACGACGTTAGCCTGTGTTGACGCGCCGGAGTTACCAATTCCTTGCTCGATATCGTGCATTTATGCGTACCTAGTAGTTGGCGTTTATAACTGAACTTTGCTGGCAGTGGCGCGTGGTGGTGCTGGAATCAGCTGGATGCGGAGAATGGAGGGAAAAAAGAAAGCGGAGGGGAAAAGGAGGATGACGTTCGCAGTTGTTTAACTAATACCCGGGGGACGGTCTTTTCCCCTCCCCCTTCCCCCTCCCCCACATATACACACACTCTCTCTCCTCCATATATACACGACTTGTGTATATATACCTAGACAGCCCTTTTTCCCCTTTCACCGAAGCACCTTCAGAAAGGGTCCTCAATATTCTCAATATCCTCAAATTATCAATATCTTTATGAGCTCTATCAGTCTCAAATACAGAGAAAGCACGTTTGCGGAGGAGCTCACTGCTGTTCAAGAGTCAAAGTTCCGGGATTTTCACTTTCTGAGACTCACTTTTCTTTTTTCTATTTTTACCCTTTTCCTTCCCCCTCTAGCTTCTATCTCTATTCTTCTTAAACTTTGAGCAGCCTCACGAGGTTGTCTACTCGTCAAATGATGACGGACCAAGTCCTGAACGACAAACCAATCCCAAAGGAGGAGCATTGTCTGCAGAGCTCTGACCAGGGAGACTCGACGGACCGTGCTGATATCGACGAGAAGCTTGAGAATTCCTTCCCAGATGGAGGTGCCAGGGCATGGAGTGTAGCACTGGGCACGTCTGGTGTGCTGTTCTGCACTTTCGGATACGTCAACGCCTATGGGTAAGTCTTCCGCGTCTCTTAGCAAACAGGCGTTGGGATTTGTCTCGGTTCTTGTCTCCTGACACGTCTTCATCCAGCGTATTCCAAGAGTACTATATGTCACATCAACTGCGCGACTCGTCTCCGTCAGCCATATCCTGGATTGGCTCATTGCAGGTTTTCTTCTTGTTTTCCGGTTCCCTTGTTGGTGGCCCACTCTTCGACCGATACGGAGCAAAGGTACGTTACAGGGAGACGCGTCCGATGTGGAAAATCAGAAAGAACTGCTAAATTACTCATTAGGTTATCTGGCCATCTGCTGTTCTACACTTCTTTTCCATTATGATGACGAGCATTTCGAAAGAATATTACCAGATCATGTTAGCCCAAGGAGTTCTTGGGGGTATATCTATGGGCATGACCATGGCCCCGTCAATGGCCGCAACACCTCAATATTTCAGCCAGAAACGCGGAGCGGCTATGGGCATCGCGGTTGCGGGATCTTCGATCGGTGGAGTCATCTTCCCAATTGCACTTGGCAGGATGTTTAACAGCACTTCACTGAGTTTCGGCTGGTCTGTTCGCATCTGCGGCTTTCTTGTCCTGGGCATTCTCACACCCTCATGCGCAGCTATCCGTTCCCGTCTCCCGCCACGAAAGAAGAGCTTCTTCCTCCGATCCGCATTCAAACAGCCAGAATATGTAGCAATCATCACCTTTAGTTTTCTCATGACTCTTAGCGTCTTTTCCCCTATATTCTTTCTCCCAAGCTACGCGGTGGAGCACGGAATGGGTAAAGCCCTCGCTTCATTCATTCTCTCCATGTTGAACGCAGCGTCCTTCTTTGGCAGAGTTCTCCCCGGCGTCTTAGCAGACCGACTCGGACGCTTCAACGTGGTCATTGCATCCGGCGTCTCGTCAGGGGTGCTGATATTATGCTGGCCAAAAATGACCTCCAACGCATCTATAATAATATTCGCGACTCTGTTTGGCTTTTGCTCCGGTGCCATCGTCTCGGGCATGGCCGTCTGCCTATCAACCTGTGCCAGGGACCCCAAAAACATTGGGACATACATGGGTATGGGCATGGGCATTGTCGCGCTTGCAGGACTGATAGGGCCACCGATTAATGGCGAGCTGGTCAAGCAATATCACAGTTTTACCCCAGTCTCCATCTTTTCTGGTGTGATAGCTTTCGCTGGATCAGCGGTTGCCATACTTGCAAAGGCTACCACAGAAGAGGGGCTGTTCGGAAAAGTCTAACGCAATTTTCCTCTCCTCACCCAACATTCATATCGCCGCATCCATCTGTACTATTTAATTTTCCTTATGTCCCGAAGTGACTGGTGTTAATTGTTTATATTTACGTTCGAATGCGATTATTTCTCAGATCTTTACCCCAAATGATTTATTTATGCCTTAAATAGAAAGAAGAGGCAACGAGCATCTATAGGTTTGGGCTGATGGAAATTTGCCACGCACTTTCATGTCTCAATATTTAACCGTTCCGTCAGTTAACCACTAACTAGTTAACTTAGTGGCCGTTCCGAAATGCCCCATACCACTGCTCATTTATCGCGGCTAGCTGTTGTCATATGCCTGTTGTTATGTGTGCGAATAGTGTTAATTCGAGTATATAATTTAAGGCGCCCAATTAACCCCTGTTACTGCCCGTCGTCTCCCCCTTTTTACATGCTGTTATTTCTCGGAGTTAACATAGAGTTAAACTCGGCCTGTCACACACGCCCCACACCTGACGCTTCTATTTATAATTCCAACTAAACCCAGATCCTACGACCAATCAATCCAACTTCAACATCTGCATAATTCTTCAAATATCGAATCCAACAATATCTCTGATGGGAAATAATTACCCATTTGCCAGCTATAAAACAAGAATAGTGCATAACCAACTCTTGAACAGATATGCTGGCAAAACAATGGGCCCAAAGATTTGAGTAGCTGGCAACAAGCATGAAGATAGTTACATCAACATGGCACCGGAGCTTAACCGAACACCGAGTCTTCGATGTAAAGGGAACAATTCAGGATGCTTAATTGGCTTGTTCAGAATTGGCAAGGCATGACAAGCTGACCTGATCGTTGACTGCTGTCTATGAGAACATCACCTCTCTTCCATCTACGGTAACTAACTATTCACGATGGAGTGGATCTCGAATGGAATCAGGAAAATTGGACACCGTCAACTGCGACCTGCACGGTTCAAGGCGGAATTGCCCTCATACCCAGATATCGCCGGCAATTCTGCTTCTCCAGAAACCCACACTGTCACCGTCACTGACACTGCCACTGGAATATCTGTTACACCTACCAGCGAGCAGAAACCAACCGTACCCACCCCACCCACGGAACTCCATCGCCATACAATTTACTATATATATATATATATATATACATTAATAATAATAATAATAAAATAAAATAAAATAATAATAATAATAATAATAATAATAATAAAAATAAAAATTAAATAATAATAATAATAATAATAATAATAAAAGCATGCCCCACACGCTCTCACACGTTCTTCATCGTGTGCAGCTATCAGCCCGCTTTCCTCTGGGCCAACTGTACTTCGAATTCCGGTAGTCTCTCTGCCGCGCCTGTGGAGCCTTCGGGCAATTTATATTCCTCCCCACGCTGACCCCGGCGCTGCAACCGGCGTCTGTACACACCCGTATGCAGTTCCAGGTGGGTCCTGTGAGCATTGTTCTGGGCCAGTGTGCCAGCGCCCTTCGTTGCCAGAGGAGTTGGTGTTAATTCTGAAACATCTGATGACTCTCCACTTGTTCCCCCGGCGGGAGGGGGGGGGGGGGGGGGGGAGTGTACGGGAGCGGGCCGTCGCATTTGTGGAATTGCGGAAACGACACACAGTGTCTCGTTAGCATTCAGGAGTCGGAGAGGGTGATTGCCGCTGATGTGCTGAGTGAACGTGCGCGGGTGGTACAAGGGTCTGGTGCGCAGGGAGAAGTTGAGGGCATCTTTGAGACGGGCATCTTTGAGGCTCCGCGTGTGAGAGTGACGACGTATGATGAGATGGCGAGGAGAGGCGGTGGATGGCGGGGAAATGGGCGGTCAGGACGCCCAGGCACTATTGTGGGACGACGGTGACCCAGGTAGGTAATGGGGACAAGCCGAAGTGGAGAGTAATATCGCATATGCTCTGGAGGATATTCGTAGGCATTTTTTGCGGAGTGTAGGTTTTGGAGAAGAGGGGTGTATGACTATGGGGAAGAAAGATGGGGAATTACGAGGGGTGTTGGGAACGGGCCGCATTTCTGGAATTAATGTGAGCAAATGACAAGTGAGAATAATATGCTGGACTTTGGAGGACTGGCAGCAGCTGTTAAAAGAGTATCGATCTTATCTTGGGTTCAATCTTGCAAACAAACCCCTTGCAACGGCGACCGAGAGGGAGAAGTTTGAACGTATCAATAAAACATTTAATTTAAAAGATATTATCCTCGCTTGTTGGTTCATTCTAGGTCTAACTTCGAAAGCAGTAATCTAAATATATGCACTGTCCAGCAGCTAATAGATGCTCGCCTTCACATCCATAACCGTACCCAACCCACCTGTCCACAACTCATCTGCCCATCTCCCATTTCTCTGCCAATTTCGGCACAAACGACCCGCTACTGATGTTAAACCCTGCATGCGCAAACATGTCCTCCCAGACAATATCATCCGTAAAGAGCGGTACAGTAGTACTCGGACCATCCGCAGCTATGAAAGTCTCCAGCTTATTCTGTGCCAGAGTTTTAAAGACGTTGTTATTTGCGGGCTTGGGAGCGATAGCATTGGTCGTCTGGCAGATAAGAGAGCCGGGTTGAGGATGCAAAGTGCGCGCTTGACGGGTTTGGAGTCGGGGGGGTTGAGCGTCATTTTGGTTGAAGGAGCTCTGGTTGAGTTCTTGCAAGTGCCGTGGATATACCTGGACGTTTTCGGAAACTGTGGACGGAGACGTAGACGTAGACGTGATCATTGGGCGTGAAGAATTCAACTGTAGAGAAGTGGAGCCTCTCCGAAGCGGCTGAGGTAGGAGAGGTAGGCGAACTGCTCCTTTCTCGGACTTCTCAAGCATCTTCTGTTGCTGTCTAAGCCACTGGTTCGCGGAGGAGCATATTTCTTCTTTCGCCTTCCGGTACTTCACCACGATATTTGCCAGGAATCTGCTCTGATGATAAGAACTGGTGTTTGTAGCTTGTTGCATGCTGAAGTGTCGACTCGTTTCGCTGATGAGATCCAGGATCATGTTTTCGGATTCAGAGGGCAATTCTCCAGGTAGAGAGAGTAGAATCTATTAACGGGGATGGCAGGAGTCAGTTCATGTTTACCGGAATGTGGGGGTATATTATCAGTCTCCACGCTTGGAGCAGTTGAGCCTGAAACCAAATAAGAGAGGCTCGGGACGATAGCAATTACCTTAATCATAACAACAGCAGCATAAGCAACCATTACATGAACCGAGTCCTGACAGTAAGACGAATGGGCGGTTACACCTAGTCGGTCAACGACTAAGTGGAGCATCTCTAGAGAGCTAGTGTAGCAAACCCAGAGTGCTTGTTTGGAAATATTTCCACTCAGGATTGAGAGCTGGAGACCGAGGGAATGCAGAAGAAGTCGTAAATGTGTCCCGTAGAACCGGATAATAAAACGATGAGCGACATTGGTGCTAACTATATATGAAAATATTATAGTTAGAATAATGGTGGCTCGATTCTATATTCGTTCTACCAATGGTTGTATCCGATATGATTAAAAGCGACGTAGAATATGCTAGGGCGAATATTGTAGACGTTGTCATGATAACCTACCGTCTTCTACGATTTTGTACCATTTAGCCTCCCATCTATCCAAATCTCCATTGAATAGTTTCAATATAACTTCACCTTTGGTAACTGACTCTGCCGTTGTGGTGACAGGGTCGATCCCAAAGAGTTCCAAAATGTCAGATCCAAGGATACGGAGCTGTACGAAAGCAGACATGATTTGATCGCAGCCTGGCACCGCATAGATATGTTGGTGCCAATTCCCCGCGTTGCGAATCAGGGGGTCCACTTGGATCATCCACGGTTTCCCCATTTGAAGGCTTACACTAGAATTAATGTGTCCAGGCAGTGAGTTCCCCATCCCAAACTTTTCCACAATTGATAGGAGAGAGCTGCGTTCCGAAGTAAAATAGAACAGGGGCAAAGATAGGAAGATGGCATACCTTCTGTCGTACACAAATAACATGAGCCAGGTTCGTTCTTTGCTTCGCAGTTCCCGAATATCTAGCTCCGTTTGCACGGATTCCCTCGCGGAAGTTGCAGAACCATCTCGACATGGCGAGTGGAGCTTGTGCCAGCCCATGTCTATAGATGCTCGTATCGCATAGCCCACGAGGAGCCATGCCCGCGAGTCACTTGGATCTTTCCAATAAGTTAAAAGACAGATCCCCTGGACAATTTCTGTTGACATCTGTCCAGTGATTAAGATTTCTTTAAGAATGGTCTCCACATGGTCGCGAAGCTTCATGTACAGAGGTGGCATGAAAATCTTTGCCGCAGCTGAAAGCACGGAGGAAAACAAGAAGGATGAACGCTCTCTGATGTATTTCAATGTGTGTAACTTGGGATCAAACTGGCAAATGAAGGGGTTCATGTATGTGAAAAAGCTGCATGATGAATATTGTATCAGTCATTCGCAGGGCTCACCCACCAACTCGGATGTTGACAAAAAAAATTTAAAGAAAGAAAGAAATGAAAAAATTGAAAAAGTGAAATGTTAAAAAATGATAATCGTGTGTAAAACTAGAAAGGCGTACTTATCAAACAATTTCTGGGCTGTTTGAAGATCAACAAGATTCCGAATTACTGGATCGTTCATGTCATTCGCGTAGCCACCGTTTGTTGGGCTGTCCGTTCTACGCTCTGTAGCATGGGGTGTGGGAGGTTCGTCTTCGGCATTGAGCACGTTCGCGATAGAGAATTTCCCAGAGGTTGCGGATCTTGGGAGCAAGCCATATGGAGAAAGACTATCGGATGCCATAGAAGAAGGCCTTGCACGCTCAATTGACGCGCCATCCACCGCTACATATTTTTCAGTTGGTGGAGCGGATGAGGTAGGAAGATTCGGTTCCAGGGGATCTTTCGAATTCTTTCTCTGATTCTGTTTCGCCCTTGGTCGCAGCCTGGCAGAAACGATTAAAAAATGTCGATATATTTCAAACGACCAAAAAAAGTGATGGGTTTTTTTTTTTCAATCAGGAGTAACCTGCCCAAAACCGCAATAGAACGCGCATATACGGTAAAGCAAAATAGAATCTTCCCCCCACCCCACCATACATAAAAAGCTGGCAGTGGTAGAAAGGGCTTATTCTTTTCTTTTCTTTTCTTTCTTTCTTTTTCTTTTTTCTTGACAAGTCGTGTCCACTTTATCCGATAGAACCGTACTCACCTTGTGCCAGCCTTACGGCCGCGACGATGAGCTTCAAAGAAGCATGGGATTGACTTCCGTTTACAGCGGCTGCACACGGTCGAGTCCGGCTCCCGGATACATTTCATCTTGACGCCGCGACATGGAGTGCATGCCACCATGGCTGCAGGGTTGGAGACACCGGGGGCCATGACAAGGGGAGAGTCAAACAGTGACCAGCTTAGTGCTGGAAGATCTGGGTCATTGTTGTTGGGAACAGGATTGTTCTTATTCTGGGGTTAGGAAAACTGTGGAGGAGAGAGCTGAGCTTCAACGGTTCAGCCGTCCATGGTCCAGGGATATGGGCGAAAGGACAAAGGACCTCCGTTGAACGGCGTAAAGAAAAGCAAAGATGCAAAGAAGTCAATCCGAAATCAAAATCCCCGGAGATCCAGCTCAGGGTTTCATGCTTCCTAGGAGATAACGTGGGTTGCCCAGTTACGGCTCTCACCATGATAGGTTTGCCTCCGCGTCTGGTGCCGTCATCAACAAGCAGCACGCACTGCAGAGTTACTGGTGATGTCGGCGAGTTAACTATGAAAAGGACCAAGCTAGGTCAAAATAGGGAAGGCTAGCCAACCGGTGGCCCGCGATAATTCTTCGAGCGACCTGCGGCAATCCTGCAATCCGGCCTGGCCCGCGCGGTGGTTCTGAACGGAGCGCATGTTGAATAATAGCAATAACGGGGCAGCAGCAGGGCCGTTTTCTTTTTCTTTTTCTTTTTCTTTTTCTTTTTCTTTTTCATTTTCATTTTTTTTTTTTTTTTTTTTGCTTTCTTTTTTTCTTTTCTTTTCTTTTCTTCTTTCTTCTCCCCAACAAGGCAGTCAGTTGTGAAGATTCTCTTACTGATCAACAGGTTGAAGAAAAAGCCCTTGCTGAGGGGCTATCGAATGATCTATAATTATAATAATTATTATTAGCTGATTTCTGTAAATCATGCACATAATCTATTTGCTAAATAAAATTTTAGCGCATAAAGTTGATTATATAAAGACATGAAGAATCACCTTAAAATAAATTTAGATAAGCCCTCAATAAGAATGTTCTATTTTTTCAATTGATTGAGGATTTCTTAATAATGTCGAGCGAATGCTGGGATGGAAGTATTCTAATTATCCAGTGAACAAACACCCTCCGGGCTCGATGGTCCGCGTGGGGATTGTATCATCTACGGGCAGGGCGAAACGGTGAAATAATTAGTTATTCAAATGGGCATTTGCTGACTTGCATCCGTGGACAGCCTATGATGATCAATTTGCCTTGCGGCGGCGGCACCCTTTGAGCCAAAGGGGGGCCGGCGACCCATCGAGCAACTAGGGGCCGCAAATAATGATGCTATTATGGGTCACCCAACTCTCAGCAATTTCTCATCTCGGCATTAACCCAAAGGTCATGAAGTAAGTATCAGGCCACGGAAGGGAATCTTTAACCGGTGGCAGCCGCACGGCGGAATCAGAACGTGCCAGAGCGTGTGCCAACCCCGCGGCGATTATTCGGGCAACCTTCCAAACGGGTAGATGTTTGTTTAGTAGAGGAGGGGGGAGGGTGTTCGGGGGGGTCGGGAAGGGGGCACATTCCGGCTGAGACAACAACGTCGCTGGGTTCAAATTCTACCGTTCACCCAATGGCATCTATCACGGGAGGCGTTTGAATTGAAGATAAAAAGAAAAGGATTTATGCTTGACAGGACTACTGCACACGCAGCAGGTTTCTATTGGCTCCTGGTGTTTAGGTGATTCAACTACTGTAACCTAGGTTAGTAACCTAGGTTATATACATACAAAAATCAGCAGTAGTCAGAAGGAAGAGGAGATGAGTGTGATTATAACACACTGGCCGGAGGGCGTTTTCTCCCCCGTTGAGGAACTCATTTGCAATTTGGTGTCGTAAAGCACGCACTTCCCCTCCCCTTCCCCCCCCCCCCCCCCCTTCGCCTTCAAAGGATGACATACATCATGTAGTTAACTCTCTACTATAATTTCCATACGGCGCTCATCTCTACCATTTTACTTTTTATTATTTTACTATTCTTAATCTTATCCTCAATTGGGAATCTATGTTAGGGAGCGGCACACCTGGCCAGCTCCGACACTGATGGTTGTAAAAAGACTCTCCCCCCCAAGTGGAGTGAGTAGATCGAACCCCCCTCCTCCTGGAAGCCCCTGCGTGAAAAGTACGATGCCCAACCACAGTGTCGAAATATTTTGTGGATTACATTGCTTGAGGGCGTTTTTCTTTTTCCACGTTCGCGAGACAGTTAAACCATTTATTTGCCTTTGCTTGGTGTGGAGTGTATGGAACGGATCAAGTTGTTCGGAAATGCGGCTCCAATGGATGGCCTGGAATTGGGTGGGCCGAATGTTCGAGGTGAATTTTACCTTGCTGGGTCCCATTACTTAGGAATGTCTTGCGAAAGCAGTGATTGATACGGGGGGCATGTGTTTGTGTTTTTGTTTTGTCGTGACAAAAAGATAAAACACAAGGAATCATCCAGCAAGAGGGAGGCGGAAATTCTGCAAGATCCCCCTCTCGTCCGATTGCTTTCTATATAGTGAGTAATTGACTCCAAACCTATTACATAAGCCACGCGTTGCGAATAACTACGTCAAGTACTAAGTTATTCAAGAAATTAAACGCAAAAGAGACAGACAGGAGAGAACTTGGTTATGTATCACAGTTCAATCCAAAATGAACGCTCGAAGAATTCCTTTCTAGCAAAAAGAGCCCCCTGGATTGGGTGGTAATTGATGCACAGGAACCATGAATCAAGGTTTGCACCAGAGCACATTCCCTGGAGCGAGCTATACCGATTGAGACGATGATCAAATCTTCCCGCCAGCAAAACATGGATAGAAGACGCAAGCACAGAGTGGAACAAGCAAAACAAAATGTTTTAGCGTTCCGATGCTTAGAAGTTATCTCCTCCGTAGTAGGAATAAAGGCAGTTAACGAAGGTTTCGTTGATATTCGCACTTTGACTAATTGGCACACCATAAAAGAGGATCGTGACAACTTAAGTAGTGCGTTGTGTGTTTTTTAAGTCCAGATGAACCAAGAGTAGACGTCGTCCAAAAAATATATATATATAAAAAACTAAAAAAATTAGAGGGATGTCACAACCATCAAAAAAATACTATTTTTGATCTAGGACTCACTAGGTTGGGCAATACGGTAAAAGGAAAAAAAAAAAGGGAAAAAAAAGTAAAAAAAAGGAAAAAAAGAAGAGAGAGAGGGAAGGGGAGGGGATAAGGGTATAAAACAGGTGGTATGGATGGACATCAATCTTCCTTCTTGGAATTCAGCAGCTCTTGCGGAGGTGTATGTGCAGTGGTGGTGGATTCATCGTCGTTTTCTAATGGGACATCTAGAACTCGGTCACCGGCCTTTTCAAGTACCTTGCGGCTCCAGGTCCGTACGCCTTTGTACACCCCCTGCAGGTTTCAATTAGAGATGCAGAAAAATTAGTAATCTGAAGTTGAAACATACCCAAAGAAATGTTATAACCCCGATTAAGAGAACTATCCAACTAACTGAGGCCGCTCGATCCCTGCCAGTGGCAGCAGGTCTACGAGCTCCACCAACCAGACCCGAGTTCCGCAAATTCCACCACTGCCATGGGGAAAGAGCAAATAGAACCTTGACAAATGATAATACTCCAAGAGAAGCAAGGCCCTTGAAAAAGTGCTCAGTCCATGTCTCGGGGACATCCTCAACCTCTTCAGGATAGAAAATGTTGTCCCCTTCATCCGAACCATAGAACCGCGAAAATATGGTATCAAACGGATCAATATAAAACTTTATTATGGGGTCAGCAACAAAGCCAAGCACGAACATCGCAAGCAGAAGTATAGCGACTGTGAGGATCAGCTGGGTTGGGGTGCTTGTGATCCATCGCCCCCATCTCATTCTCTCCAGACGATACTGAAAGCCACATGTGGGACATTGCCAATAGTTTCTGTCAGAATATGCCGGATCCGCATGTCTCCACATGTTCAAACATCCTTCATGCACATATCTCGAGGACCCTTTGCATTTGCAAGGTCGAATGAGTCGTCCCAGCTCGGGATCCGCTGACTCGTATGTAACACGGGGAGCAGCCTGGAGGAAATCTGGGAGATTCTCTGATACAGACTCAAAGGTGGGGAAGACAGTTTCAAGGCAGATACGGCATGTTCTGGGAGGATAGTGTCTGGACGAGCTTGTGGACGGGGAGGGCGATGGCGCTTCTTCTTCCCAGTTCTGGCTTTGCGGAGTCTCGGGTACACTCGATTTCCGCCGTGAAGAACTAGCAGCCCCAGACGCAGGCTCCGTTCCAGACTCCGCTGTCCGAGAAAAGGTATTCTCAGGCGATTGCCACTGAGGTTCAGCCTTTGGACCGGAAGGGAGTGACATCCTGACGAGTCTCGCAGAAGTTGTTCGGGACTCGCGGATAAAGGATACAGAGAAACAAATAATAAGTCAATAAGGAAGCAATCTATAGATGCTCAACCATCGTCAAGCTCTGGCTGGTTAATGGGCCACTTTCGCAAGGGCACAAACATCCTGTGCCCGCAACAGAGTTAGACAGCGGTTATTAGGTGTTGACAAGTGGCTGGATGGAAACTGTGTGGAAAGACCTCGGGAAATAGTCGCGTCTATTGACAGGAAGTTCGGTAGGAGCCACCACTAGCCCTAAACAGGCAACGTAAGCGCCATCGACGCTACTGGTCATAATAGACGCGATGCTACGCTTGCAAGCCAAACCCGCGTCAAACAGTCTGGCAGCCTGGCTGATGTGCAGCTGTAACAGCGAGAGGAGGATCAAGTCAACGACTTCAACACTCTCCCCGTCACTGGTCGCTCTCTATACCCCCTATACTCCATTCCCAGTTTGTGGTTTGTCTTTTGTGTTCTACAGTTGTCGCTCCTGAGCGGTTCATCTACAATGGCAGATCGCTACTCGTTTTCCTTGACTACCTTCTCTCCCAGGTGTGTTCTGACCGCCTTGGTTTATATCTATCTACCATTTTCAGCTCCAAATACTGACACACATTGTAGTGGAAAGCTAGTTCAGATCGGTAGGGGAGATAGTCGCCTTGTATATATCCTAGCCTTATAATAGCCTAATTTTGTCTATAGAATATGCTCTAAATGCCGTTAACCAAGGTGTCACTGCTTTGGGCATCAAAGGTAACTTTGGCTATCCTATACATCGCAATTGCAAAACTTATTGCTGACCACCTTCTTCCTGTTTCCTGCTAGCTACGAATGGTGTCGTTCTTGCCACAGAGAAAAAATCCTCTTCCCCCCTGATAGATCCTCCTTCACTGTCGAAAATCTCCCTAATCACCCCAGATATCGGCATGGTCTACTCGGGCATGGGTCCTGATTACCGTGTCCTCGTCGACAAAGCTCGAAAGATCTCTCATACCGCTTATAAACGAATTTACAACGAATACCCCCCGACTAGGATATTGGTCCAGGACGTTGCCCGTGTGGTGCAGGAGGCTACGCAGTCGGGAGGTGTCCGGCCATATGGCGTCAGCTTGCTCATTGCCGGTTGGGATGACGGAGTTGAACCCACCCCTGTGGAGGGAGAACTAGACAGAAACAAGAAGAAGGCGTCGGGTAAGACGGGAGGAATCCTGAAGGGAGGCCCTAGTTTATACCAGGTCGATCCCAGCGGCAGTTACTTCCCATGGAAAGCCACAGCTATTGGCAAAAGCGCAACCAGCGCGAAAACATTCCTCGAAAAGAGATACACTGAGGGCCTTGAGCTGGAAGATGCCATCCATATAGCACTTCTCACGCTGAAGGAGACCATTGAGGGTGAAATGAACGGTGAAACTGTTGAAATCGGTACGTCATATCAGCCGTTCATCTCTCACTATCTACATGTATATTTCGGTGCTATTACTAACCATTTATGCAGGCATTGTTGGTCCACCGGCCGACCATCTGTTGGGATATGAGGGAGTGGAAGGCGCAAGAGGGCCACGGTTCCGGAAGCTCAGCAAGGAGGAGATTGAGGATTACCTGACCAACTTATGAATAGACTTTAAGTTGGCAGTTGCTCTGTAATAGTTTATCTAATAAATCTTATTTTTTTTTTCTTCTTCTTCTTTTTTTCTGTTTTTTTTTTTTCTTTTTCTTTTTCTTTTTCTTTTTCTTGCCATTTATTTCCCTCCTTTGTAGCTTTGTATTGTAGAAGGGCACACTTCCAATCCTCTTCATTTTCTTGCAATCTGTGTAGATTCATAAGGTCACTCTCACCAACCTCAGGCTGTTTATGGCTCCGTCTTTAACCTTCCACTTGTTTGTGGTCGTCCCCTGGGTTGGTGGGGTTTGTCTGGTTCAGTCCTTCCGATTGGCCAGTTCCCTAATATTGCAACGAACAACACATCTAACACGTTGTGTCACCACTCACCCAGGCAACAGAGGCATCATTGTTACCAGTGCTCAGAACTTGTATGAATGCCTGAAAGCTTCTCTCAATGTTCATGAAAATTTTTACTCATACACTTCCTTGGCTTTCGTAAATCCTTGGGAAGACGTACGGCAGATCCTGCCATTGTGCGTTCCCCAATTCCAACCTGTGAATAAGATCAACCTCAGTCAGAAAAGGAAGATGTCCCAAGCTGCTAAACATCCTGTCATTGATTCTGCTTTGAAGAATGGAATTGGACTTGGCAGCTATGCTGCGTCAGTTTTCACACCACGAGCCTACCAGCTGGAAATGCTGGAGGCAAGTTTGAAAGAAAACATTATCATCGCGGTGAGTTGAGTTATGCATCAACCCAGACATGAACTTGGAGATACTTCCATTTTCATCCATACTCTACAATAAATAACATTGCTAACAAATGAACTGGCAGATGGACACTGGAAGTGGCAAGACTCAGATGTGAGTGTATAAATTTTTATTCTGTGCTCCTGCAACACCTACTTCCAAAACTCCTGTCAGAGGAATGTCATCTGTGGATGACCTTTGTCCCACTACCTCCTATGTAGAGGGCCCGTAGGGCCCCGTTTTAATTGCGCGTGAGGTCTAAGCTATTCTGTCAAAATCAGTGCTATACTTCGAATCAGACATGAGCTGGAAACATGCACCGAGGACAAGGTTCGTAAATTCAGTCTCAAGGAGGTCTCTCCTTGATATATCCCCTTCACTGGCATCCATTAACTCTATCAATATATAACTAGCTTGTTTGGTTTCTTACTCCCACTGTTGCTCTCGCAGATCAGCAACATAAAAATATCTCCCAGCAGCTTTCTGTATATCAGACGAGGCTCCTGCTAGGAACAGATAAAGTGCATTATTGGTCCACGAAGAAGATTTGGGACGATGTACTTTTGAATATCAAAATAGTTGTTTCCACTCCTCAGATACTTCTTGATGCTTTATCTCACGGGTTTATTACCATGTCTCGAATTTCCCTTCTGGTGTTCGATGAAGGTATGAATCTAAGTTTTCCTAAAAACAAAAAAAAAAAAAAAAAAAAAAAAAAACTGGTGCTGTACGTGTAACTGCACATTCAGCGCGCTGTTGAGCTAATTCCTACTTTAGCTCACCATTGCGACGGATTTTCTCCGGCAAATACTATCATGCAACGATTTTATCATGAGCAACTGCAAAGAACTGGAACCAAAACTGACCTACCCCATATTTTGGGGTTGACAGCCAGTCCCGTTACCAGGGCCGATCCAGAAAGCTTGAAGTATGTCTACTTACAAAGCCATTTTCTCACTGACTAATTGGACTAGGAGGGTCGAGAAAAATTTGAATGCTCGATGCGAGACTCCTAGAATCCACCGGGAGGAGTTGATGCGATATGTTCATCGCCCAGAACTCTATACGGTGAAATTTAGGACGGATTCACTAATCCATTCGGACATGCTACAAAACCTTAGTCGAATCGTTGGTACTGTGGACATCGAAAAAGACCCGTGGATCAAACGGCTCAGAAGACAAGAGGACAGAAGAAGCCAAGGAAAGCTGTTGTATGCTCTAGAGAAACGCAAAACGCATTGCCTCTCACAACTATCCAAGCTTTTAAGGCAAGCCATTAATGTCCACGATGACCTGGGGCCATGGGCTGCAGATGCTTTCATTTCTGAAGTCATAGAACGACTGGAAACCAAACGAACCATGTACCAACATGTTGAACTTCATTCTTCCTTGGACAGAGAAGAGGAGGCGTTCATCTTTGAACTGCTCTCTGAACTGTCGATATCCCCAGTAAAACAGGACTGGGACAGTGAGTCCAATATAGTCTCCACCAAAGTGAATCTTCTCGTAGAACTTTTGGAGAGCGAACACACGGCAGACTTCACTGGAATCATATTTGCCCAACAAAGGGCCACTGTTACAATGCTTTCACATCTTATTTCCAGACATCCCCGACTCAAGGATATTATTGTTACTGGTGCCTTTTTGGGTGATGCTTGCTACGCGAGCCGAACATCAACGATTACGGAAGTTCATGACACGAGGTCCCAAAAGGGCTCCATCGATGATCTACGCTCTGGGAAGAAAAACCTACTCATCGCGACATCCGTCCTCGAGGAAGGGATCGATGTGTCAGCTTGTCATCTAGTGGTCTGTTTCGATGCCATTAAAAACCTCAGGTCCTTCATTCAGAGGAGGGGCAGAGCCCGGAAAGAACGTTCGAAATTCGTCATGTTTTTGGACAGCGATAAAATATCCGAGGAGAAACAATGGACTAGATTGGAGGAGGTGATGAGGAGCATTTATGAAGACGACATGCGCAGACTTGAAGATGTCATGGCTAGGGAGAACATCGTGGAGGAAGGGGATCAGTACCTTAGAATTGAATCAACAGGGTATGTAAATTTAACATCACCATATATAAAGAAAATAGGTTTCCAATTACTAAAGTGCTTTAGGGCACTCTTGACTCTTGAGAATGCTCGACAACACCTAGAGCATTTTTGCGCCACGCTACATTATGCATTTACCGACTCTCGGCCTCACTTTATATTCGACGAAAGCGAAGGGGATGGAACGATCGCTGCAAAAGTTGTTTTACCCAACGTCCTTGATCCAAAATTTCGAGTTATCCACGGCTCGAAACGCTGGAAAACAGAACAGATGGCGCAGCGCGATGCCTCATTCCAGGCGTATCTTAAACTACATAACGAAGGACTCGTCAACGACTACTTGCTGCCAGTACATTGGAGAGGTGATGAGGACCCAAAACTGGAATATTGCGAACAAAGGCCCAGCGTTGTTAAGATATCTAGACACTTCGATCCCTGGTCAACGATTGCAAGTCGCTGGGAAACAACACAGAAGTTTTACCAGACTCTAATCGAGATATCATCCGACTCTATCCCGTTCCCGCAAATGCGGTTGGTGCTGCCAGTTCCTCTACCATGTGATATATCATTCAACATCTTCTGGAATGAGAATAATACGTTCAAAGTCCACCTGAAGCAGGAGTCCTCATCTATCACGGCAAGTCTCATCAAGCACGCAGCACAAGCAACTCATGCCATATTTTCCTCCATGTTTTCCCACAAAATGCCTTCGGACCGTTTCGATTTCTCTTGTTTATTTCTGCCGGAGGTGGAACTAACTGAAGACGAAATGATGAAATGGTACTCCTCTGTGCAAGGGAAGATTCAAGCTAGCGATGCATCTCATTACGATATTGAAAGCTTGAGCAAACTGGGGCTTGTCCGAAGGTGTGATAGGTTAGAACGGCCATGGACCGCGGAGCGGTATAGATGGATGAAACCCTTTTCTGAAGGTGCACGTTCTGATGACGTGGACGGCAGATCGGGAGTTGATGAAGAAGAAATTCTCCATATTGAGGGCACAGCCTTGCCCAAACGTACAGACTTCTTGCATCCCGTTGCTAAAAGCGCTGGCTCACATCTACACTCCAGAACGAAGAAGTGCTACCCAGCTCGCGAGTGTTCGATTGATAAACTACCTTTAGAGTACACCATGTTCTCCCTCCTTTGTCCGTCAATCATCCACAAGGTGGAAACCTTCTTGATCGCCGAAGAATTGAATAAGACGATACTGTCTCCTGTGGGTTTTACGGATTTGAATCTTGTCATTACTGCCCTATGCGCCCCTGACGCGAGGGAGGCAACCAACTATCAACGTATCGAATTTTTGGGTGATAGTATTCTTAAATTTCACACATCACTTCAGTTATTAGCGGCAAATCCAATTTGGCATGAGGGCCTTTTGTCAAATGCCAAGGACGAGGTGGTTTCTAACAAACGACTCTCCTATGCAGCCATCGAAACGGGACTGGATAAATTTATATTCATGGACATTTTTACCGGTGTGAAGTGGCGGCCCCGGTATAATAAAGCCCATGTCGAAGAACAAGATATCCCTCGGCGAGAGATGTCCACAAAAACCCTCGCAGACGTAATCGAAGCGTTGCTTGGAGCAGCCACCATAGATGGAGGCCGAACAAAAGTTGAAAAATGTCTAAAAATTTTCCTTCCAGAAATCCGTTGGATGCCCTTCGCAGATAGGTTCGATGCTCTCTATAATTCTGTTCCTGAGGTCTACGAAAACCTGCCCAGTTCGTGGTTTCGGGATATTGAAAGTTTGGTGGGATATATCTTCAACAAGAAAGTTTTCCTGGCCCAGGCCTTCACTCATCCGTCCAACCCAGGCTCGACAATGTCGTATCAACGGCTGGAGTTCTTGGGAGATTCAATACTCGATCACATAATCGTTGACCACATTTTCAATTCACCCCGGAACTTCCAACACGTCGACATGCATCTGATGCGCGCTTCCCTGGCAAACGCGGATTTTCTCGCATTTCTCTGCATCGGAATGACTACTGAAGAGGAGCGCGGGGAGATTGTAGAAGCCTCCAGAAATGGAACATTCACACGAATGACTACCCGCAAAATCTCCCTCTGGCAGTACATGCGACACGGCACTTCATGGGAACTTACAGTCTCGCAGCAACAAACAGTCAACCAATACCAAGCGCTGAAAGCTGATATCACCAAAGCCCTATACGAGTCAGACACGTATCCCTGGGCCCTCCTTTCGCGGCTTCGAGCGCAGAAGTTTTTCTCCGACCTCATCGAGAGCGTGCTCGGAGCGATTTTCATTGACTCTCACGGCTCCCTCGATGCCTGCGCTGCATTCTTAGAGCGTATAGGGCTGATGAACTTTCTCCGCCGCATACTGCAGGATGAAATTGATATTATGCATCCCAAGCAACGGCTGGGGGAAATGGTCGGGCAGATGCAAGTTCGGTATGAGACGGTGCATGTGGTTGAAGAGGAAGGTGGCGATGCGTTGGGACATTGGACTTGCAAAGTTTTTGTAGATGATGAGTGCGTCTTCGAGGAGCATGACGGGGTTAGTCTTGTAGAGGTTGAAACAAAGGCAGCGGAGGCGGCATTATCCGTTCTACAGAATAGAGGAGCTCGTTGATGTTGGTGTTGATCGCAATGATGGCATTGATGTCGATGAGGGTTGTAAACGTCGACGGCGTCGATATTAACGATGACATGATGTTGATGTTCCAGTGACTTGCATCTCCCCGGTAGACTATTGTCGTTAGAAATTTTCATACAGTATTCGATGATGATATGTTTGATCTGCGCGAGTTTACTAACGAGCCAAGTCATCGGTTATGGTCCATCCTTGCTCGAACAATTGCCCCTTAATATAATATGTCAATATACTAAAAAGCAAGCTTATAACGTTGGTAGAAGAGTCCACTTTCTCCTCCATCATAGCAAGAAAGGAAATAGGAGATACGTTAACTTAGTTTGTCAAGTCTCAAAGAGGGAATATACCGAGCAAGCTTCTAACTTAACAAATACCAGCATTAATATAAACATCCTCCCCGCCATGCATTCCGATAAACTTAGTATTGGCACAAGAGTAATAAAATTTAGTTTTCCGGCGGGGATATTTGTATAGATAATTATATCTGACCAAAAAGTCAACAAGTATCCGCATTGACTGCGTTCTTCTGGGAGAATAATCCAGGTACAGAAGGAAACATCATCAAATCGTGAGATCAATATAGAACAAAAAGGTAAAAAAAGGAAAAATAAAAACCTCAAAAACCCAGTCATGGAGTCGTAAAGCTCTATTTTGTGTATGGTCTAGCTCGTACATGACGAGTCGAAGCGGGGTGTTAGCTGAGCCGCCATACCATCAGCATCAAATCTCTTAGTCTCTTGAGGAATACCTCATCCAACTAGGAGTAACGAATTGTTTGTAAGACAGATCTATCTCTCGACGTTTTACAAACTCCTCAGCACTACTGTTCCGCGAACAATGGCACCCACAGCTTCAACTTCAGCTCTCCGACGGAAGCCTCCTGGCTGTCCTGAACGTATAAAATGTTGAAATACTATGGCCCACACTTTAGCCATCATTTTGAATAGGGTGTGTATAAAAAAGGAAATTGGGCAAAACAGAAAATCTAAAACGTCCTCACCCATCGCGACAAAGCAACAGCAAGCAAAACGACACCAACAAAATCATCCGGCATCATAAGGATCGGTATCCCTAATAATGTACATCTGTCCAATGAGAACAGTACAGCCGACAGCCATCGAGATGGCGATAATGGGAAGGTTAACTCGTGCAAAGTCAAGGCTGCGGACTCGGATGTGCTTTCTGGCAAGGATGTCTCGCCAGAGCATTCCGGCGAGAGACGCGCTGAATGCCGTGCTGAATGCACCGTAGTTGACGCCGATCGCCATACTGTACACCGTTGCCCAGAATGTGCGGTTAGAGATGGGGGTGTTGTTCTGGATGTGGATTGCCTGCCACGACTGAATGACGCGGGAGAGCAGAATGGTGGTGCCAATGTTTGTGCCAGCGAACTACAGATCACAATAATTTTAGTTTATCGGAGTTGCAATGTAATATATATATCTATACATAGATATATGAAGAAAGGGATGGGAGAGGGGTCTCACGTTGCATAATATCACAGAGAGAAAGCCCATACCACCAACGGCACCGACTGTGCCAGTCTTGTTCACCCAATGGTCCCATCCGTAAGCGAACACCGGTACCCAGCCCTTGGTGACAAGTGCTTGCACTAGGATGAACATAGTGAAGGCAAAGGGTACAAGTGCAAATGGCAAATGGGCCACCACCGCTGTGACAGTTGGAAAAGTATCCTGAGTCCATCGGTAGGCCTCCTTGAGAAGCGAAATAAGCGTTGTCTGCCCCCCGTCCTGGCACCTTGCAATCTCCAGCGAGACTCGACTTGAAAATGATCGCTCTGCTCCGTCCACTGATGACTCTTGCTGCTGTTGGTTGCGTTGAGTGTGAACTACTTCCTGCTTCTCGTCTATTGCAGCAATCGCGCCAGTGGCTGATGCTCGACCATCCTGTAACTTATTGTCGGTTAATATTCGAGTGGGGGATGGCGATTTTTCCCGCGGCGGCGTGGATGTAAAAGTTGGGCCCTCATTGTATTCAGAGGTGAGGATGACAGGAGAATACTTGGAGGTCTCGGCCGCTAGTGTAATCTCGTCATCAGTCTTTAACGTACCCTGGCTTCTGCCGCCAATCCCTGCATTGTTTTGGCCTTGCGGTTGGGGTTCTGGAGACTGTGTTAGTGTTAAGGGAGTTCCATACAGAGCCATATCACCATGATGTTTTTGCTCGAGTGACGCTACCCTCATTTCCTCCTCCTGTCTGAGCATTTGCTCAATTCGAGCATTTCTGACTTCCTCGCGGCCCTTGCGAGCGATTTCACGCGTCTCATGTCGATGATACCATCCGAAACCTACATCCCAACAAAACATAACAAAGGCAGCCGGTAAGGTAACCCAGAAGATGGGGTGTTCACCGCTACTCTGGCTAGCAGCGTTGAGTGCCAGGAGAGTAACAAGAGTAGCAGTCATGATGACTGCTCCGAAAGCTGCGCCGCCCTTGTCCAAAAATGGGTTCATAATCTCTTCGAGCGAGAGTAACTTTACTTGGTCATCGTCTGCAAGCTGGTTCTCATCCTCTTCAGCCAGTCCCCGAGCATGAGGAATATTGGGATTTACGGGCTTCTTCGCTTTAGCTTCCTCGGAGAGTTCGTGCATCTCGATGGCGAATGGGATAAGTGCCGGGTCGGCAAATATAATGTAGAGCAAAAAGGGAAATAAGACAATAGCAGTAATAACAACTGGCACTATCATGTTTGCGGTGTAGACAATGAACTTGATCTTGAACGCGCCTGCAAGGACGAGGTTGGTTGGGTTGGAGGAGACCAGTATTGCGGATGCGATGTTCGCAACAGCGAGCTGCGTATGAATCCAGGCTCTTGGATGGATGATATTGCTCGACACCCGAGTCATATAGGCGAGAAAGGCGGTGCCAGAGAGGATAATGGGGTCGTTGCCGATAAAACTTCCCAGGACAAAGAAGAAAGCATAAAGATAGAAGAAAAGCCGATGCCCAACCTTACCACCTTTTTGAAGCACCTTGAATGCCAGGAACCTAATCAGACCGGACGCGTCGATCGATATGGCAATGTAGGCCAGCGTAATAAAAAAAGCCATAATATCAATTGGAGATATATTGTTCGCCCCGAGTGTACCACCACTCACTTCCTTTTTGCCAATAGCCAAGATGGCCAGCAAGAAGAGATCTGCTATCAAGGGAGCTGTGACAAAGTTCATGGGAAAATTGAACCGAACAAAGAGCTTGCGCTTGGCTTTGCCATTCTGGTCATCCGTTTCACCATAATCGTACTCTACGTAGCTCTGTCTGGGCGATATCACTCGTACCGCGCTGAGCCCATCCAGAAACGTGTTTGCAAGCCACCGAGGGAAGTAGATGGGGATATGAAAGGGAAACAAAACGATGATATCTATCGCATTGCTGCAGCGTTAACAAATTGCATAACGAGAATATATGAGATGTCCTGGGCATCTTACTGGTGATAATGAAGACAAGAAGCGTTACAATTGACCGCCAGTTCCTAATATCCCCAGTATTAAGATCCGCTTCTATGGGTTTCTCTGCTTTCCCTGCCATCTCAACGGCTTATTGTGTTTCCCTAACTCGGCAATGGGGGATATTGATGGGTTCAACCGGCTCTGTATATGACAGACCAGATTTCGCAAAGAAGATTTCCCGCTGAGCAGCAGATGCAGTCGGGATGGCAAGCTGCCGAGGCAGTTAGTTAACCAGCTAACTTCCCTGTTCTGTTTCTTTGCCTCTTTGCCTCTTTGCCTCCGAGTCTCCCTGCGATTCGAAGAATCAATCGGAATCCAGCACACCACGGCGGAGGAGATCACCTCTTCTTATGCTGGCGGTGTTTTGCACGTTTTAGCTCCGCCGAGAAATAATGTCCAAGCCTCTCCCTGGTCCAAGCCACGCAGGAGAATGGCTGGCAAGGCAGGTTGATTAACTGGGCGACTAAATGCCACTAGACATAGCTAAGTGGGCTGTTGGCTCGTTTGGAACGTTCGATGGGTAAATCAGATTTCACGGTTTCGCAAACGCCGCAGCAGCGGGACTGTGTCGAATAATGAGTCCGACTTTTGGCTCGCTAGACGTAAAGAAATTTCCCTCCATATTCTCGCAGGGCTCGCAGCGCCTGTTTGGCATTCCGTTAAATAGCCGCAGCCTGTGAACGTCCTGGGATATTGGGGCGCTGAAACCCCCAAATGACCTTTCGTATCACTCTCGCCTGGTTGGTTACAGGGCTGAAGTACCCGACGGAATTGCACTGTCTGATTCGACGAGAAGGGCCAAGAGCCCAGCGAGCCTTGATTTAACTAATTCGGCATACCACAGATGATCACTCACTCACTTGTTGATATGTCAGCCAGTTAGTCAAGGCTGTGCGTAGTTAATCAAGTTATGCGGCTCCCGCTGTAGTTGGGTGAAGGATCAGTTGTTATGTTTTCTCCCCAGGCCCTTTTTAAAACAACGGCGAATTCAGCTTGATGGGCCTTTTAATGATGCAAACGAATTTTCCTTCTCATTCAGGATAACTTAGTTTAACTATCGAATAAATTATGCGATCCCGCTGTCTCTTATTCTCCTCAGGAAGACCTAACTTAAGTTCCTCCCCGCGATAGGCGATAGTCTTGGTAAAGAACACTTGATGAACAATAATGCCGGCGTTTTATACAGCCTCGTTGGCAGATGCTCTGATTGTCAATCGCAACGTTGAAGCTGCAACCAACAGCGTATCTACAAACGCTACGAGCGCTGCTTTGCAAGTGATATGTGCTTGGCCGGTCTCTGGGCAGTATGGCCCAGGCACAAGGGTGCTGTAAGTTCACCACTTAGGAAAGCCGACGAGAGAACGTGCCGGCAAGAGGCTGACAGCCAAATCCACCTGCTAGCTACTATGTCCTGATAGCAGCGTGTGTGTTTGCACGCAAGACAGACTGGCTCAGAAATGCGTGTCTGGCAGCGGTATTGCTTTTTCCCCTGTCCGCTGCGCTCCATGGCATTGTTGAGCGGCCCTCATTTTTAAGGGGGAGGGCCCCCCCTTTACAAAACCCCCCCCCCCCCCCCCCCCCCCCCTAAGTGCCGTGGCTCCGGATATCCTCGAATTGACAGCTTTGTCCTCAAGGCGCTGTCGATATGGATATCTTCGGAGCTTTCCAACTCTGCGCAATAGGCATCTTGACCGCCCCCGTAGCAGTCAGAGTGTCTCGGACCTACTTCAACGACCCCGGGCGGAATCTCATTTCCCTGTGGACCCTCCTCGTACTTGCTGGTAAGTTTATTAGTGGTTGTTAATCATCCTTTTATTCAAACGTTGAAGGCCCTTCCCTCCTTGTTCGGCCAAGACTGACAGCTGTCCCTAAAGGACTGCTAAGTTTGGCCGTCGAGTTCTTTCGGATTCAACCGAGATCTTGCCCATTCGACGAATTCGGGAGGCCCATCCCCTCTAACCCCAGGAAATTTCCTTATGGCACTCGATGCGGCTTAACCTGTTCGGAAGAGAAAGGTCCCTTCTCTCCTATGCGGGGTGGCTCAGCGAGCAATATATACGTGATTCCCGCGCCCGACAGGATCACGTTTGGCACGGCTACGCTCATGGCTGCGGCATGCTGCATCCCAGCCGTCCTCTCCTTAATATCCATGTGGAGCAAGATTCTTGAGGCCAACCGAAAGAAACGTTTCGGGGGTGAGAATGAACAGGTTGACATGCCGATCGAGGGCACGAATGGAGCCACCATTAAAAGGATGAATAGTGTCAATTCCCTAATCAGATTGTTTCTCAGCGTCGTAGAGATTCCTGTATTTGGGGCTGCAGTGCTGGGCATTCTCATTTTAGGCGAGATGAATTTCTTCAGTCCTCAAGTCGTATATCAAACTGAACCGGTTGCCAGCATCGGTACGCGTTTACCTTTATCATATCCATCGGTTTGGTGCAAATTGCTTACAGGGTATTTTTACTGTTTGTAGGTCAATGGGCACCTATCGTTGGTGCTGGACTTGCGGTACTAGGGTCTCTCTACCTTGTCCTGGCTGCTGATCTCCTTGCCGTTGAGGAGGAAGAGAAGCCAACGACTTCCTCGAACCGAGATAATAATTCAATAATGCAAGAAATCGGCACTGTCGTATCCGCAGCATCCTCTCACTATCCCCCGGGTAATGTGGAGCTGCGCCGCAGTGTTTCAAACACACGCTCTGCTACCGAACAGGATGGCCAACCCAGACAATCCACAATTCCGGATTCGGCAAACAGACGCAAGGTAGCCAGGGCGTTAACTAGGTTCGGTATCTACCTCAGCGACGCAGCACACGAGCGCCTTAATAACTCAGAGTTTAAGAGTGGAAAGGCCCTCGACTTCCCTGAGATCCCAGGGGAGATCCGACGAAATCGTGACCTACCCCACATCAGAAATCAGTACAACGCAGTTCGGGACGCAGATGGAAATGTCACTCCCTCACTGCGGGGGCGTTCTTCCAGAGCAGCCAGTTTCGCAAGTAACATGTCCGGACTCAATGTGGAGGGTATCTCGAGGGACTTGAGACCACCGTCACGATCCCCATCACCCTCCTCGCCAACCACCACTTCTCGGAGACCGCACTCCAATTCGTTAACAAACGACCGACCCTCAACAGGGAACCATAGCCTTCCACCGCTATCCAATAGCTCCGCTATCAAAACACACCCATCAAGACGGGCCACGCTCGAAGTCCCAGTTCAAACCCATCACGGGACTCTGCGAAACAGCACGCCAACTTCGCCAGTGCATTCCATCCGCTCAATACCTGATAGCCGCCCTCCCGCCATTGTCGTTTCTTCTGATCACGAAGACGCCTCCACTCTCCTCAAGACACCCTCCCATCCAGACCCTTCCCCTCCGTCAACAGTGACAATATCCGCGCCACCAGAAGCAGCACTGCCCTCATCAACGCGGAGTGAGCGCAAGTTCACTGTGTAAGTTACAAGCCATTGCGAAGTTTTACATTGCTTCTCCAAAAATTCAACAACTGTCCGCCATACTTGAACACATTCAGAACCTCCACACAACCCGTACTCAAAACAAACCCCCAGCTTGATTGAGGGATTCCCAGCAACGCGATATTAAACAGTGAAGCAACTGGAGAAAACAGTCCATCAACCTCGAACTTTGCAAATCCCCGAAGCACGCTAAACCCGATCTGTGCGCGCGGAACCGTCCACCCCGAAAATTGACATCCCGAGTTTCTCTAATAACAAACATTCATCGGTGGAACAGACTTCAGCTGGGAAGTATATGCGGAGCTCAATGTTAACATGGATGTCGATGTGACTGGATAGCAATGGGGGTTTGACCTACCATGCTTATCGTTTACTAATGAATGTAGTTGACGGTTCCGTAGATCTCAGAAGTCCAACAGTCACCGAAAAGGAACCTTAGGCCTATGTCCACCCCGGCCAGCATCACCAAAACGGAAAATTCATTTCCTAGTTTTTACGGCCATATTTACGTGATGATGATGATGATGATGATACGACAAAACAAAAACACGACATGTATCCTGCCAAGTTCAAGTGAATCTCACGGGGCAAATAAAAGAGACTTTTAACGCGAAAGCGATGGAAGAGGAAATGTAGAGGGCTGACCAAGATCTATCAATTGAGGTTCCGTATTTCATGGAACGATGGATGGTATGGTCCCAGCCTATTTGACCTTCTTCGATCTTCGTGTAATATGCTTACCTGCTCTGTAGAAATTGTTCCCGGGGAATCAGCGTGGCCGAAGGAGCGCACCCAAACCCCGAAGATTCAACGAGAATATTGTTACAAAAGCCTCGTAACGCGGAGCTGGAACTTGGTCAAGTGGTTGAGCATGCGTGAGATGAATAATGTGACAATTGACCTTTTTTTTTTTTTTTTTCAACAGGATAATCTAGATAAATAGACATAGAAGTGGATAGATAATCTTGCCCGGATTCCGGGCACAAAGAAAGTGTATCTATATTGTTTTCCACCTTTCTTGTGATAGCTCAAATTAGTTGCCTGGCGATAATACACCCCGAAGTATGAATCATTCAGATCACACATGCTTTGCAGGTTTAAACAGTCCTTATGGATGCAACCTGAGAAATCAAGAATTCAGGTGCTTCCCCAACGAAATCCCATCATTTTACCAACCCAAAATCTATTATATACTTCCCCTCTTCATAAACCCTTGGCAACCTCGCTCCCAATCTAAATAGGGGCCACTCCACTTGAACCTCCGTTGAGAACCATCCGCGTACGTACATATCGCATCTATTGCCAATAACCTAGAGGCCCGAACATTTCCCTTCTTCGAAACTCCCCAAGATGGAAACCTTGATAAGCGATCCGCACTTCCCTGAGGAACATCGAAACAAGCATCCCCAACTTTTTTTTGGGTGCTGAAGCATGGACTAACACTGAACAATGTTTTCGTGATTTGTGGGGATGCGGGGCTTCGTGAAGAGGATAAAAGGTCTGGCTTGCCCCCGGCGCCTGGAAGTAGATCCCCGGGGTCGAAGAATCTTAAGGTGGCTAATATATGTATGTCTCTCTTCTGCAATAACAGACCAAAACGCGGACATAAATGGAAGAGAAGAAAGAGAGAGTAAAGAGGGAGAATACATATAGCTCAGTCATGGCTGCCTGTCATATCGAATAAGGCTCCATCTCTTCGACTTGCTCCGAGACCAAAGACCCTCTCATCGTAATGGGATATGTCTCCATGCTTGTCTCAAAACATGACATTGTCCAATCAAGGACTTCAAATGCACCTTAATGTGCACATTGGATGCTGACCGCTGCGGTCATCTAAAAAAAGAAAAGAAAAGAAAGAAAAATTGAAAGAGCATTCAGACATCCCTCCAAGGCTGGAAACTGAGAAATCATGACAAGGTCATGGAGAAATGAACAGGAGGTGTCATGGAAATTCTTTGGGAAAATAGAAGTAAACGCATTCCGACAAATTTGAATCTTGATAAGAAGCACTATTGCTGATTGCTGCTCTGAAAGAACATTGAGATACAGTCTCTCCGCCAGGGCAGTATTTCTCTAAAAAAAAAAAAAAAAAAAAAAAAAAAAATTCGGTTGCCATCTGAGAAGAGAACAGATTGGCATACATCAAGCTATTCTTCGCAGCCTTTTTCAGGAATAACCAGCTGGCTGATGTTCATTTTGAAACTCAGGATCCCAATCAACGCAGCTATGATTGAAAGAAGCTAACCTCACTCCTCTTTGCTGATTTTGTCTCAAGTGGAAACACTCTTCCGTCAATGCCAGTGCCGCGGGAACTGCCAACTGCCGAGTCAGGACGCACTGGCTGGCTGCTTTACGCACATGAGGACCGTCAATTGCTGTCGACTCATAGTCCACGATCCCGCGGCGATGCCTCACTGGAATTTTGCTAGTAGGACTTCTGCTTCTATTCATAATCGGTTTTACATCCTTCATGTGCTTGTTCAACTGTTGATGCTGGCGGTTGTTGAGCTGCGATTTCCGACCATATGATTTGAACGGACAAAACCATTGTAAAGCAGTCCCTGGACACACTCGTTAGAACCTGATAACTACTGTCGACAAAATCCTCCGCGTAAAGGCACTCTTAAGCGAGTAGAAGAAACGAAGGGATGCCCCAGGATGAAAGAAGTGAGCTAAAAAAATAAATAAATAAATAAAATAAAATAAAATAAAATAAAAAGCTGATTAAACGATCTTTATTTAACTAACTAGTTAGTTAACTCCGTGGCGCATCTGGGTAGATGAAAAATGTCTTCAATCAAACCTCCACAAATGGAATGGAAATCATCATTTCAACCTTCATGAGATGTATAAATGCCTGAACAGTCAGTCAGTCAATGTCCTCATTGAAATAAATCAGTGCAACTTTATATACCTGATGCAATCCCCCAAACCTCATGCTATCATGCTATAGGTCGGCTTGTATATGGTGCCAGCTCAACCCACTTCATGCATAACAGACGCACAGAGTTGCATGCGGGTGATGGGCCTAGCTCAGCACAGCAAGCAAAGAGAACAATCTGACCAGAGAGAACGTTGGTAGCAGTCCAGCGCCAACGCAAATCACGGGTCACTCCCCTAGACGCAGCCAAACCTGGTCAGCATCAACCACGTTGCATACGTCTGATGGACTTCGAGTTGGACGAACGATATAGGGTTTTTATGTTCGGATATGGCTATTTATGGATGATAGATACCTTCTACTTCCGTGATTTGCTTAATAGGCAGCGTTGAGGGCGCCCATGAAGCAATACATACTTCTCGATATAAACTGACCTGCGTACTCGTCCACGCCGTTTCTGCCGGTGCGTGCCGATGGCTTGTATCATGACAGCAAAAGGGAACTCACTGATCAAGGTAACTGCAGATGCAACTTGCGACTGATGGTTTTTATCTAATTGTTACATTTCCAGTAATCAGCTCACTTATCCTCCCGCACCGTTGCAATAACCCTCTTGGCTACGGTGGATATGGCGTTTATTGAGCCGCAAGATCAATATTCCGCAAGGAATCGTGACCAATTTTCTGGGGCTGCATGTACAAAAGCAATACGTCCATTACATGTATCCCTCCATCATTAAATTGAGAGAGCTGCTATTGGACTCTACCCGACCCCGCCGTAATTCGGCAATCCGCGCTAATATGCAAACTGCATAAGAGATCCTGGCTGGAGTTGGGATTATCGTATCATCATAAGATAGCCGAAGCAAAGAAGTCCAAAAAAGTAACTGGATCCCACTCCAAATGTTGTTGTTGGGCTGTTATCATGCTTTCTGTCCCCAGATTTTCCCTTCCATTCCCTCCTGACTTGAGAGCTTCCGTTGTGACTTACCCTCGGAATGGCCTCATTCCGGTGTTGACTCCAATATTCCGCGTCAAACCGTTTCGTCTTTATCTGTTTTTCGCGGAATAGCTTAAGCCAGTTAAAGCGGAACAACCTCGCGGTTCTTCCACATACGTTACATCCTTCCGGTTGGACATTCGGTCTTTCTGCATAGCCATTTGACGACTAATTGTCTGGACCATCATCAATTGACAATCTGAAATCGAACGCGCCAACTTCCTTGAACCCCGGCTTGTTTCCCCCGGCAGATATCTGATGCGAGCTATCACGACGTGTCCACCCTTCACTTGTCCCAGTAATAATAGCGCAGAGCTCTCGTGATGCCCATATAAAAGCGCCCGAATTCCCCGTAAATAATTCTCGTTTTCTTTAAAAAATCGCACAATGATGGGGGACATGGGGAATCGCATCTTCCTGTTTACCAAGAGTCGTGGGTCTTCCCACCCTGGAATTGCAGATGTGACAAAGGGTCTGGGGAAAATATACTGCTTCATCCCACAATCCCACAAAGGGGACTTTCCATAGCCAGACTTTGTAACAAGAATTATATCCATTCACTTCCGTTTTATTCATTTCCATCCGGTATCACCAGTTCATCAGTGCGAAATTTGCAATCTTTCTTCTCCCTTGTTCTCCTTTCAACCCTTTGGCTACTCGTGTTGCATGTCCCGTACTTGGTAGATCGGTTCTCACAAGTGAAGTCTTCCCAGCTTGAGAAATATATTGATCCGGATTGAACGCTGATCTGTCATAGTGGCTTCCTTTTCCCTAGAGCATTGGAAAAATCAACGACCAGCCGGTGATAACGTCACCTGAGAATTCGTCCCGAATCGACAGGAGGAGACCAACGGCTTCTCAGTCGTCACTGATTGTTCAAAATGGCGTAGATGATAATTGTGCATCGTTGTCGTCCGGTGTAGTTCCAACACTTTCTCCACCATCGTCTTCAGCAGCGTCCATTTCCCTGTCGGAATCCGTTAGCACTAGTGCTGGGGACAGGCTGCCTCTTGAACATATCCTCGATAATGACAGAAACGGAAACCTCATTGCCCCAACTGGGGCTTCCAGTACAGGAAGGGAACACAACTGCTTCTTCCACATTCTCGACTGCAATAAAACCTTCGTCGATCATAACGAGTGGAAAATACATGTGCTGAGCCACTTCCGAACATCCTCACCACCCACCATAGCTCAATGCCCAGCCTGTTCATATTCGACTTCAGACCCGCGACATAGTGTCGCCTGGCGAACAATGCTCACACACCTGGCCGGCGAACATCTCAAGCACGGATACCCGATCCACAACTCGAACCCGAGCTTCGCTACCATGCGGCACATGTACTGCTCTGGCGTCATTGAGAAGGAAGATCTATGCCTCCTGCAGCTCGTGGCAGCTCCTGGACGGCCAGGCTATGACTCGAGTATGGATTCGGTGAGAGCTAATATCGGCTCATCGGATGACGCATATTTGATCTATGCGAACCCTCGACGAGAGCGAAGAATAAGAGGAAGAAGACCTCCCCGTGTTATCGTTGTTTAAATCTTCCCGTCCCGCGAAAATATGCCCCCTTTCACGGGGTTAATGTGCCCAGGCTTTGGATGTGATGGGACGTTAAAGCTACTCGATTCTTTTGCTCCTAATCTAAAACGGTCCTGTTCAATATTTGATATTTCTCTCTCGTATCACCAACCACATAATCAACGATGTTGACAAGTCTCCTTTGTCTTTCCGATAAGTTATCATATGTCAAAAATGTTCCTCTCAATGCGGTCATTGTTCTCCCCTTTGCCTCGCGCGGCACACCGCAAACGAGAGTCACCGCAAATTTCTCTTTTCTGATGTTTTGGTTTGGATTTGTATGTTCGTTGTTGTGTGGCGAGGTCATGTAAGGACTGGAGGCTGGCAGCCCCCGCTTAGGGCTATTGAATAGCTCCTTATCGTCTCGTCACGTGTCCCTGTTATGTCAGTCTTGGAAGCCTGAGGAAGTCCTACAAGTGTTGTTTCAAGAAGTGAACAATGGTTGCAGATGACAGTTGATGATATGGTTAATAGTGGTGATGGTGAATTGAAACATGAGCTTATTGTTGCTTTGCCTACATGTTCCAGTCCGGCCTTTGAGATACCAAAATTACATACAATTCATTTTAACTACCCCCTGAAATCTCTACTCAGTAACTAATCCCCATATTAAATATATTCACTACTATATAAGCCAATATCTCGTGAGATTAAATTGGATTGATATCATAGATAGCCAAAACACAAGACAAAAAAGTTTCTTGTGAACAATACAAGTCTGCTGGAAAAAGACAATCTCTATTCGAGTCCTGCCATTGGTATATGCCATCCAATATCTGAACACACGGATGAAAGGCACACCACCTCATTGCATCTGCGAGTGCCGCCGTTACGGAGATGCTGTGAGCGCCTGCGGAAGACTTCATTTTGGTCCGCGAATGGGTACCTGATCGAAACCTTTTATTACATCAGCGAAGCCATCAGGGAGCAATTGCAGAACATGTGGATAAGAGCCCTCTTCCAGGAGAACATGATGGTCAAAATCATGTTTCCTAAGATGCTTAGTGAATAGTTTTAACTAAATAGACTGACAAGGTCACCCCTGAGAAGCTTCCGAGAAGCTGGCTGCATGTTAGTTACAATTCCTAAGTTGACTCACCTGTGATATTTAAACGCAGCATCAGTTCCACTTCTCAATATTATGATTCTCTGTTCTCTGTCCTCCATCATGTTTAGACACAGCTGGAGAGCTGTATTATATTGAGCATCGCATATTCATGTTCTTGTTATTTCTCATTGATTATTCAACATGGACAGCTCAAACAGAGCAAACAGAGCAAACAAAGCAAACACAGTCGCTATCTTCGAGACTTCAACGTCGAACCTTGACATACAAAAAAAATACCATAGAGAATCTCGGAACTCTGTTTACAGACAACCCCCGACGAGACAAGAGCAAGACGAGAGCGGGGTTGCTGTCAGCAGGAGAGGACAGACACGTCCCCATCAAAATTGAGAACAGGTCGTTGAGCTTGGCTACCAACCCACTCAGCTTCACTTCGCCCCCCACCCACCAGAATGAGCGTTCCAACTCGTCCTTTGCCCTGATACACCAACCTATTATTCCTCAATTCCCGTCCGTGCCGTGCCTCTCAACTTCAAGAAAAGTCCCCAGACGATATGGAAAACCTCTCCCTCCACGACCACAATAATGGCCCTGCCGGGCGACATGGAGGTGGGCTCCCGCCTCCGCTCCCGCATGGCCACCAGGCGTATCCCCCCCCTTCCCACCCCAATCCCCCTCACCCTGGCTTCCAACACCAGCAGCAAGCTCCTCCTGGGCCTCCTTCCTCTGTGCCTGCGCCGGGTCAAGCTCCTTCTCCAGTCCCAATGATGGTACCGGGTCCGCCTCAGCTACCTCCTCAGATGTTCACAACCGCGGCGCAACTTTTAGATTTGACTGATAGTGAGATATTCCCTTTCTCTGGACTCTATATACAATGCGGAAGTCTCATTGAAAACGCTTAAATTCCCTATTTGAAGGCGTGCTATTGGAGACAAGCGAATGGGTCCTGGTGTATATGCAATGGAATTTGATCACAGACTAACTCTCCTCTCTCCTCGCCACGTTTGCGGAATGCGGTTTTCGCAGAGAAACTTGTCCTGGTGCTCCGTGATGGGCGCAAGTTAATCGGTGTGCTACGCAGTTGGGACCAATTTGGTAAGCAAACAGTCTCCTGTCTGTCACTGGAAAATCATGCGACTAGAGTAGACCTCTTTATGATGTTGGACGCATTGTGAATACATCACTGACCACTCATTTCTCTATTCCAGCAAATCTTGTCCTCCAAGGAACCGTTGAGCGAATATACGCCGGGCACCTTTTTGCTGACGTTCAGCGGGGAATCTACCTGGTTCGCGGAGAGAATGTGCTCCTCCTAGGAGAAATTGTATGTTGTTTTCTCCTCTTCCCCCCCCCCCCCCCCCCCCCCCCCTCCTTTCCAGCGTCAATGTATCTACTTTTCGTTCGATCTACAATTAACCATGCCAATTCCGCACTGCAGGGATCTTGATAAAGAGGACGATATACCCTCAGGCTACCGCCAGGCGTCATACGACGAAGTCTTTGCACTGAAAAAGCGGGAAGATGAGCAGCGAAAGAAAGGCGATAAGCGTCGTAGCAACAAATTACAGGCACTCGGCTTTGAGGCTGAGCATAGCGGGGAAGTTTTGTTTTAAATGGTCAAGCCAATACTCCGTACTTTTAATTATTTTCCTTTTTTACGGCACGGACTGTCCATCTCATGGTCGATGCTATTCACCCCCACTTCGCCTGAAGGAAAGAGATATCCAGTGGAAAGGAGTCTTCTTTCGTGGCATGTCATATGTCAGTGCCGAGCCAGAGAACCTCTATTACTCACTCGAAGACCCGGGAATATGCGTTTCAACTCTCCGATGAAGCTGTTCGTTTTTTGTTTAAAGGCCTTGATGTTATTACTTTCATGGTCTCTTCGTGGGCTCTATGTGTCTCACGATACCGCATACCCGCGACATATTGAGAATGAGTGTTACAGTACGAATTGTCGTGATGGGATAGGAACAAAATCTAGGGGGGTGGCGAGTAATGAATGATCCGGTGAATGTAGAGTTAAGCAGGGGATGCAGAATATTGTGAAATGCTTCCAACTCAGTGCGCGGAACAGAACAAACAAAGAGGCAAATGTGCAGATGGCTGGTGAAATCGACCATGAGATTACCTCTGATGTAGATAGAGAATAAACAGGAGCTGCCGCTTTGGCAACCATCTCTCTTCCCTCAAGCTCTGTATTTACTGCAACCAGATTTTAAAACATGGACTGCCGTACGTTATATTATATACTGCTGTGGCAAACTTCAAATCAAAACTGAAAATATCATAAATCTCATCCGGAGTCTCTTTAGATGTAGCACAGAATATCCTCGAATATCCTGTTGCCGTTCATATAAATATCTGATCGTCCATATCTGAGCGTCTGTTGCTGCTTTGTCTCCCGCGCCCCACAAAATCCTTGCTATCGATAAAAATCGCCGGAGAAAAACTCAAATGAACTTTACAATCGCTCGAATGCCAGACACTGCTTAACCAACCACCACCCAGCTGTCGACAGCACCATTTTGCAACAGCGATCCCCCCTCAGCTTGGGGCACACTTGCAATATGACTTCGTTGCAGGAAAAGCTGGAGAAAATTAAGTCTCCCAAGCTTCACAATCAGCACCATGTAAAGACACCCTCACCACACACAACCGCTACTCAATCATACGGGAGAGAAAAATGCAAAAAGAGACAAAATTGTTCGACATATATATATATATATCAGCCAATGCTAATTTAGAAACATTACAGACATCAGTGGTCCTCTCCGCAGTGGAAGATACACTCCGCGACCAGCATGCCGAATTCACGCCAACCGCATACTTCGCCGCCCTCCTCGCCCTACTAGGCCAGGCCATCAATGCCAACCAAGGCATTGTGAACAAGGACCTTGCAGCCTCCATTGTCTACCTCCTCGATATCGTTTCCCCCTTCGTCCCCACTCCACTCCTCACCTCCAAGTTCTCCCAGATTCTCACCGGCCTTGCACCCGCCCTCACCCTTCCCGAAGCAGAAGCCCCGCTCCTCAAGCCATCCGTGGGATGTCTTCAGTCGCTATTGGTAGCTCAGGATGCGGCGGCATGGGCTCTACCACAGTCTCAGATAGGACCCCGCAGAGCTATGGCCGGCCTGATGGCACTGGCCGTGGACCACAGACCAAAAGTGCGCAAGCGGGTACATGATTCGCTAATGCATGTGTTGAAAAACCCCCCACCCTCGCCGGCACTGGACCACCCAGCGGCAGATATGTGTGCGGAAACTGCCCTGCAGACGCTGAGCGAGAGTATTGCGGCAGCCGCAAAGGCCAAGAAGGGCCGCCATGGACATCATCAGGGCAGCCAACACGAGCCGATGGTCATCCATGCTGTGCAATTGGTGAAGACTATCGCCATGGCTTCGGGTGGCTGGCCAACAAAGAAGATCGAGCCATTATGCGAGCTTCTGATGAATGTATCCAGGTCGTCTAACGAGTACCTGACCATGGCCGCATTTGAGGTTTTCGAGATAATCTTCCAGGGTATGGCGGATGAGTTTTCCTCGTCGAAACTTCCCCGGCTGATGGAGGCGATTTCGGAGTTGAAACCAGCGCAGAATGATTCTCAATTACTGCCACCCTGGATTGCGGTTGTATCCAGGGGATACGATGTATCTGCGCAGGTAAACCCGGAAGAAACTTTTGAAAAGTTACCGGAACTTTTTGAACTTATCTCGTCATTCCTAACTTCGCCTTCGCGAAATATCAGAATATCAGCCTCGGAGTGTCTTATCTCTTTTCTTGTCAACTGTATTCCAGACTCCGTTATACTCGAGCCATCCATATATGACGAAAAGGTGTTTGAGAAACTTGCTAAAATAGCTACTGAACTGCTCTCTGTCAAGTACCAGGCTGCATGGATGGAGGTACTCAACGTGCTCTCCGTGATGTTCGACGCTCTGAAATGGAGATCATTCCCGGTTCTAACAGATATCGTGAGGACAGTTGGGGAGCTACGAGGTTATGAATCATTTGCCGGCAAAAAACAAGCCGATCAAGTCCTTGGAGCTGCAATTGCCGCCATGGGTCCCGAAGCAATACTGAATATACTCCCGCTGAATATCACAAACCAAAAAGCGGGCCAAGCGGGCCGAGTCTGGCTTCTTCCCATCCTCAGAGACCACGTATCAAACACACGCCTGGCATATTTCAGATCCGAATTCGTTCCACTCAGTGAAGCGCTATTCCAGCGTGTCCTGGAATACGGAAACGCTGAGAAGACAGTCGAGGTAAAAATTTTTGAGACCCTCATTCAGCAAACCTGGGCCATTCTACCGGGTTTCTGTGAGCTCCCCCTGGATCTGACAGAATCCTTTGATCAAAGCTTTGCAGAGCTGCTTGCAAACGTGCTCTACAAACAGACTGAACTGCGGGTGGATGTGGGTAGAGCGCTGCAGAATCTTGTAGAGTCGAACCAAGCGATTACATCTTTGGACACTGAAACGGACGATCTAATACTTCAGCGGCGTATCTCCAAGGAAGAAGCGAAGAGAAATCTCGCACATCTTTCTGGGTTTGCAAGCAATCTCCTTGCTGTGCTGTTTAATGTCTACAGCCAGACCTTGCCTCAGTTTAGGGGTTTTCTGCTGCAATGTATCAATGCGTATCTAAGCATTACAGATGAAAAGGTATGTATTTCCCTTATATTATCAATCTATCTATCCGTTACTAATAACTGGCGTAGGAACTAATCGAAACATTCACACGGGTCATAACGCTGCTGGAGGCCTCTCTTGCGGAGACAGAAACCCCTGAGCAAAAGCAATCAAAAGTCCCTGGCGACAGAATGCCCCCAACCTCACACACGCTAATGGATCTCCTCGTGACGATGTCGATATATCTACCGCGGTCAAGTTTTGTAACTTTATTTTCACTTGCAGCGGCGGTTCTTAACAAAAAGGCCTCCGACCTCCAGTTAATCAAGAAAGCATACAAGCTTCTTCCGCGTCTAGCTTCAACAGAAACTGGCGCCACCGCTCTTCGCGAACGGAGCTCCGAACTGCAATCCCTCATCCTTTCAACAGCCGATCAGACCCCGCCTCCAGCCCGCCGTGACAGGCTCCTAGCCATCCACGAAATAGTCACCTACCTCCCAACCTCAGACCTCCATTTCATCCCGTCAGTGCTCTCCGAAGTAGTCCTCGGATGCAAGGAGAGCAACGAAAAGGCCCGCACAGCCGCATTCACATTACTCATCCACCTCGCCCAACGCACCATTGACCCCGAACTGAACCCCCGCCGGCACGGTAATCCGCAACTCGCTCGTTCCACACATGCCAGATACCGCCCCAGACGCCCCCGCCACAATTGAAGAGTTCTTCACCATGGTCTCTGCCGGCTTAGCAGGCAGCTCCCCGCACATGGTCGCCGCGTCCGTGACAGCCTTATCCCGCCTCCTCTTCGAATTCCACAACAAACTCGCCCCCTCAATGCTCTCCGATCTGGTAGAGACCATCGATCTCTTCCTGACAAGCAATAACCGCGAAATCGTTCGCAGCGTGCTCGGTTTTGTGAAAGTTGCCGTCGTCGCGTTGCCCGAGGACATGCTGCGTCCACGTCTCAGTTCCCTCGTCCCCAACCTCCTGGTGTGGAGCAAGGAGCACAAGGGCCGTCTGAAGAGCAAAGTTAAAGGAATTCTCGAGCGGTTGATCCGACGCTTTTGGCGCGCCTCTGCTTGAAGGAGTAGTTGGGGAAGCGGATCGAAAATTCATCGTGGCGATCCGCAAGGAGCGCGAGCGGCGCAAGCGCAAGAAGAACCAAGCTCGAGAAGGCGAAGAGGGCAAGAATGAAGACGGAGATG